TTTTTTCTTAATTAAAAAAGGTAATTTCCTTTTTTTTTTTTTTTTTAGCTTAGTTAATTAACTTAATTATACTCTTTTAGTATATCTTTTTATTATCTAATTCTATTAGTAATTAAGATTAGTTTCTTTAAATTTAACTCTTTTATTTATATACTACTATCCCTTTCTAGCTTTCTACTATAAGTGGGTCTCTAGCTGATTATACGTACTGTGATCTCCACTTAAATCACAACAAACGTATACGTTCCAACCAAGCAACGAGGCTGCTAGCATTGTGTGTTTCAAAGCCTTTGGCCTTGTTCCTGGCAGCAGCGCTGGTTGCCGCCGGAGCGCCGTGTGGGGCCCGTTCCATAAATGCCGTGCCCTGATTCGAACGTCTTGTTAGCCGTGTGCTCTTTGTAGTATGTGCTCTCTGTAAGCCTTGACAGTTTTGTTAACAAACCAACACACATGGGTCTTGTTATCTTACGATTGACTACAAGTTTGTCGTCATTGGCTATGAACTTGCTGCCATTAGCTAAAAGTTCTTTGCCATTCGACTCTTTGCCATTGGACTTACTGCCATTAAACTTATCGCCAGGAACTATAACCTTCTTGCTGTGCATTGTAGGCTCTTGTAGGCTTCTTTGAGTCGTTCATACATATGACGTGCTAGAAGAACGGCAATCATCTATAGACACAATACTACCGTGATTTTATGTATATAAGACAGATGAACCGAACTCACAACTATAGTCTTGCCACTTGGACACAGCTCATAAGCAAAAGAGACTCGATCGTTCTATTTCAACAAGTCAGTCTTTCCCGTTTACAATACGTTCATTCTTCAGCGTGCCTTCCTCCTTGGTTTGGCTGCTGCTTCCTTGGTTACCTCACGGGCTACCGGAAATGCTCCTGATCACGGCCATATTCTCAGCAGAGGTGTCGCCGAGCCGCTGGGAGACCTTAGAGTCCCCAAGGACATCCCTCTTGAGGGTCAGACCTGGACCCGCGCCGAGATCGTCGCCGCCATTAAAACCCCCGTTAATCCACCAAAGCCCTTTGGGAACCATGGAGTGGAGTGGAAAGGCAACAAATGGGTGGCCAAATCTCCCTTGTTCGAAGGCGTTGGAGCAAAACTGACGGAAATTGACTTGACCAAAAGTAAGTAGCTGGGTCCCTGATGCCAAACTGAGGTTATCCCCACGTCGACAAGTCTGACGCGAAATACAGATCCCAAAATTCGCGGAAAGTTCCGGGCCATCGTCACGGCGAACAAGAACTTGGTTGGTATCACGGAGCATGCTGCGGATAACAATGTCAAGGCCATTTGGGATGTCAAGGCGCTCACTGCTCAAGGAAAATGGATCAAGCTCGGAGTTAGTGGCGAGAAAGTCACTGGCACCACCGGACTGCACTTCGCCCGCAAGGACATTGCAGTGGCCATGCAGAGCTCGGCAAAGGACAAACTTACAGTTGGTGGAAAGACGTGGTGGAAGTCCAAGATCTCGCCAGAGGGTGATAAGTTGCAGCGCATTATATCATCCCTTCCGCCCTGATGAGCAAAGTTTTGCTAACTCTCTTATTACTGGTTAGGAGCTTCCAAGGACGTCTTCAATGTTGTTTATGAAGGCAATGAATTCAAACACATTGAAGATGCAACTGGAGCAAAAGTCTTTGAGAAACAGGGACCACCCCCCGTTTGCCCAAGAGACGGCACCAAAAGAGACTGTGGTGTGGACGATGTCGGGGAGAGTGAAGTCGAGGACACTGTGGCCAATCCTGAAGGAGAAGATTCGCCAGCCAATTCAGGCAAGGAGTCTGAGGAAGCACCCGGTGCTGAAGCGGAGGCGTCACCCGCCGAGCCAGGCAAGGAAGTTGAGGGTCCAGCCAATACCGCAGGAGAGAAGCCTGCCGGTCCGGAGGTAGAGGGAGGCGCAGTATCTCCTGAGAGCCCTGAATCGATAGCGCTGGCCGAGAAGTTTTCCGAGGAGGAGTTCGTCCACCTCGCAACCACTCGTGGAATGGTCAAGCCGTTAACCGAGACACTGTCCCTCTCCATCAAGGACATTCGGACCAAAAGATTGGGCTATAAGCCACTCACGCCACAGTCATCTAGCTTCAAAATCCACCCTGTCAAGGCAATCGCAGGTGCCGCCGGGGGGGCTCTTGCTGTCGCTGGTGTTACACTCTGGGTCAAGGGCATGGTTGATGCCTTTACACATGATACCAACGACTTGGACAAGACCGCAGCCGTGACTTCGATTGTGCCTCTTGTTGGTTGCACCACGAACCTTGCTGCGGAGGCTTGGAAGGGCGGTGTTGACAGTCAGGATACGGCCCTGTGTTACATTGGCGACGGCTTGTTGTTTACCCCCTTCGCTCCTATTGGCGTCGCCATCCATATTGTCCGCTGGTTCATCAGTCTCAACAAGGCCCCCCCGGTGCCAGAGAAGGAAGTGTTCCTCAAACATCGCGACAGCCAATGGGAAAGGTTCCTCGACGAGCACGTCTACACTTACCTCTATTCAGACAACAAGGAAGCATCCAACTCCAAGGAAAAGTCTTTCCGAGTGAAGCTGAACAGCTCCTTGGCCATTCAGGGACTCGCTGTCATCTCGGAAGGCGCGCAGAAGATTGGTGCGGCAAAGGTCCTTGCCCAGAACGCCGCGAAGGCGAGCACGGATGCGACTGAAAAGGCCGCGATCGAAAAGGGCTCCCTGGAAGCCGTCGAAAGCATTCGAGCTGCAGTTTGGAACGAGACTATCCTCAGGCAGCGGGCCTATCTGTTGGAAATGCCAGATTCGCTGCGCGAAAATGCAAAGGCCTCTCTTAAGCCACTGGGCGAGGAATTCAACAAGGACTACATTGCAAATACCACGTCCATCTCGATGGCGACCCATTATTTCGAGGCCGACCTGTTCCCTAAGAATCCTGCTCTGATTGCCGCTGGCGCTCCCATTCTCGATACAAGCCCTGGCAATCTAGCATTGGTCCAGGCACAGCTGAAGAGCATCGGGGCTCATCTGCAGACCCAGCCGCTGCCGCTGCCCAAGCTCTTTACCCTTGGCTACATTTTCGGGCAGTCCAAGGGTTTGGACGGACTGGACCCCCGCGTTCTCTCGCCCCGGGACTACCTGCGGGCCACGACCAAGCTCTCCGAAGACCGCATCAACTTCTTCGCGCTGTACCACACGCTCGAGGTGGCCAAGCTGCTCCAGGGCTCCATCAAGGAGGACGAGCTCCGCAACCCGTGGAAGTCGGACATCCCGGATGCCCGGCCGCTGCATCTCCTCATCGCGATGAAGTTTGGACGCGTGTCTGAGGAACGCAGGGGATCGGGCGCAGCCAGCGGCCCGGACTTTCCCCCTCTCAAAGAGGGCACTCTGGACACCACGGCTTCGTTTGCCGCAGTCACCGGGCTGAGTGACGAGGAGGTTGAGAAGCTTCCCAAGGAAGGAGAGTTCCAGCGATACAAGGACTTGGTCTCCGAGGACAAGATTCTGGCGATGCTGCGCCTCATTCAGGAAAGGAGGGCGCAAAGCGCTGCTAAGCTAGAGCAGACGGCTGGGAAGGATGAGGTCTAAGTAGAACCTCGGTTGGATCTTCGGAGCGAGGGGGGACAAGACACTTATCATCCCTTGTGGGAGGAGTGCTGGGACTACAATGTCGTCGAGGTTGTGTAAGCTGCGAATGCGTCTTTCAGGATGGTTACTCTTTTCTTTTGCGGGTGTCTCTCTATAAAGCGCTGGCTGAATAGAACTCAAACAAGCTTTCTAAATAGAAGTGATTCTGAAATTGAGGTTACATTCTATGAGATTTTCGCCTTTACCTACACGCTTGATCAACATGAAAAGCAATCACGTCGCTCGAATCAAAAGGGGGGTATGCGTGACATCTATACATTTGCTCTACAACACCGTCTTCGTCCATCTTCCATCTTCTTTACTCATCGCATCTACCGAAACGCCACCTACTCATGGCCGCCTAATGTGTGGCCATGTGCATTGCCGCAAAACGGAAGATCATGCACAGTCACGCTTGGTCGTCTTTGCCCCTGTTTCCACACCACCACTGACAGGACGGGAAAGTTCCTGATCTATGCAGCGCCTTTTTTGGGTTCTCTGCTTGGGCTTAGATGTACGCGCCCAAGCATTGGATGCACCATGGAGCCTAACCCTGCGCGGACTACCCTACATAGATATCAGGAGATCGCCAAGTGGATTGCTGGGCTCATATCCATCGGGAAAAAAAGATCTGCGAGGGAATTGCAGGAAAAGTGCCTATTCTCTGATGGGTTTGAGAGAAGCCAGGCGTCGTATTTGTTTGCCCTGTGTGCATAACCATCGCAGCAAGTGGGCACACGTTGTTCCCAATCGCCAACCAGCGGCAGCCATGTCAACCCACATCTGCAACTCCAACATGGGCAAAACGCCACTGTCAGCGTTTCTATTTCTGGCTACATTTCTGACGAATCGGAAATGTCATTGTTGGCCGGGGTCCTTCCGTTTGACGGCTGGCAGTGGACTTCTTTCCGGCCAGTCCAGACCCTGCTGTAGTTTGCGACCAACAACCAACTACCTAGATTGATCCTGGGCCCGTAACTATCTGGTTGGTTGGTCCTTGACGTTTGACCCAATATCGGTTTCTATGGAAGCGGAAGCGCGGGCACCGCTCGCGCCGCGCTTGGGTGAGCACAGCTTGACCGTGTTTCTGGATCAGAGAAAACGGTTGCGCCGCGCCGGTTATATCCAAATTCACCAGTAGCACCCTAGTTCTCAACGGACATGAGATAGACACAGACGTAGGCGAAACTTTGTTCCTGAATCGGCTTCACGTTGAGACGGCGCGTATCTGTGTATCCGTACCTTATTAATAGATAGCACAGCCACAGCGCCGCCACACGTAATGCCAAGGGAGGTGGCTGGTGATTGGTTGTCTTAGAGTCACGTGCGCAAGTCGCTGTCTTTCCCGCCACAGCCTGGGCGTTGCTAGGGAACCTTGGACGGGTTGCTTCTAAGCTGCGGGCTGCCAAGCTGCGAATAAAAGAGCAATCCTTTGCTCGAAATGAGTACATAAGTAAAAGAAAAAGGCCCATGTGCTTCTTTGTGTTCTAGAGGTTCATCTCCCAAAGCGTGATTGTACTGAAAACGCTTGTTGCGGCTTCTGTCGCAGGTGCGTTTGGCGCCATGTATTATAAGCAGGCTGGGAAGCCCCTCTGTAATAAAGCTCTGCTTCGGCGGCACGCAGGTCACAGAGCGGCCCAGCCCCAGCCCGGCCGCCGTCGTCAGCCCCCCATTTTGGCAGCGCCTCGCTGGAAAGTGTTCCCACCTTGAAGGGGCGCGCCCCCGGCCGCTGCGTCGTCACAGAAGGTAAACCTGTACGGGACAACATTCTCTCTCTGCCACGAAACTCTTTCATCGACCCAAGAACGAGACGCAATCTGCACCAACGACATCTTTCTCGAGCGCACCTCTTCCACCTACGCAACTACGATACCCCCCTTTTGATTCGAGCGACGTGATTGCTTTATTTTTGACGCCCGCCACCATGCCTCCTACTGATCAAGAACCCCCTTATGATCCCTATATTCCCAGCGGCCAGGCCGGCTCGCAGCAGGCCGCCGGCGCCGGTGGCAATGCCAGGACACAGGCTTTGCAGTCTGTAAGTAGCTGACTTTTGCGAGCGTCACATTTCATTCTACTCTACGAGCGACCGACTCTTTTTTTTTTGGACCCTGCGGCGACTCTCGGTGCTCGCGGACACAACGGCAGTACGGCAACGCAGTGGCACGGCGAAACCGTGGTCAAAGCAACCCGATGCTACGGTGGCGGAAAGGGGGACAGCGACATTCTCTCTAGTCAAGTTGCATCCCGACGGGCAGAAGCGCATTTTTTTTCGATGCCTCCAGGCCTGATCACGTCGTGGCGAGCCGAGAACCGAGAACATGAGCGATTGCGTCACCCACTTGTAGCTTTGGGGCTGTGCCGAGTCACAGGCATCGCCAACAAAGCTCTCCGCCCAGACATAGGACGAAAAAAAGAGTCGGCGCAGTTCTGTCGATGGAATGAGTCGCGCTATGCTTCGGATGAATGCTAACATGGCGATTAGCAAATCGACGACACGGTCGGTGTGATGCGCGACAACATCAACAAGGTCTCGCAGCGTGGTGAGCGCCTGGATGCCCTCCAGGACAAGACGGACAACCTGGCTGCTTCGGCGCAGGGATTCCGTCGCGGTGCCAACCGCGTACGCAAGCAGATGTGGTGGAAGGACATGAAGATGCGCATGTGCATCATCATCGGTATCATTGTCCTGCTGGCCATTATCATTATTCCCAGTATGTTGTCCTTGGCATCGCGTGGCCTGCACCTATGCTTACATGTACACAGTTGCCGTTAAGACGAGTGGTCACTAAACTTGACCAAGTTTGGGGACCAAGTTGGAAGGACTGGGAAGGGCATGCGTTTGTTTTGGACGTTTTGAATTTGAGCGGCGTGCTGGCACTAGGCAGTCTGAAAAGAGAGACTGGCGGAAAGGACCCGGAGCATGCTGCCAAACAGGGTACTCGTTTTCTTGTTTCCGAGCATTGTGGAATTTAACTGACCACGAACTTGAGTTGTTTGTTGGCGGCGCGGCTGTAGCCTGCGACATCCGACGAGGATGGACAGGCTGGTTGGCTGGTCGGGGTCGCATGTATGACTGGAGACTAGGCGTTCCCGCATTAATCGAGATGTATGTATTTTCAACAAGGGCACGATGCTTTCCATGTCCCGCGTGTACCATTCATTGCATGTCAGTGAATGCAAGGAGCGATTACGGGACCTAGATATAAAAATGATGCAGCCAAGCCGGACAATGTCGGCCCAGGCAGACAAGTAGAGTCGAGAATGCGTCTTCTCCACGTGGGTTTCAAGCCCTAATAATAAGTCTTTTTAGCGGAACAGGACGAGGACCGCAAGGAACTGCCGGTCCAGGATGCCTCGTGAAGAAATTTAGTTTATCAATCAGTTATTAGAAGAAGAAAAAGCTTGGCTGGGGGCCGGGGCCCCCACCAACGATGGAGGAGCTGAAGGTTGTGCAGGCACAAGCTCTTATCTGATCTTGTATTTCAGCTGCCGTTTGGTGGAGAAGGAGTGGAAACTAGAACCCAGTCGTCTCCAGGCACAATGTGGGCGAGGGGTGTAGCGTATGGGTTTGCATAGTTACTATGCAAGTTTCGGAGGGAGAGTGCTTCGGAGGGAGAGTGCTTCGGAAGCCGAGAGTTGTTAACAAGAGAGGGGGACGAAGCGGAACAAGAGAAATTTCTGGCAAAAGAGAGAGGGGATGAAGAGGTTGACCCTAAAGAGAGGGGAAGAGAGAGAGAGAGAGAGAAAGCTGAGAGCACGGTTGAAGTCTTGTGGTGAGGGATATTCGAGGAAGGGATAATATATGAGGGATGGTGTTTTTGGATATGTTATTGCTGCGTGAATTTTGACGGCCAGAGTGGCAGTGACAGGAACAGGCAGGTACTAATAAGGGTCCTTTTTTTGTTTCACGAGCCATGGCCCGGCCAACGTCGTATAAGGTACGTGGGCGTTATAGTTCAAATCGAGGTACATGGCCGAATGCCGCGAGAGCAGCACGGAATGAAAGTAGCAGGTGTGTGCGGTTGGGCGAGGAGACCCGAGGTGAGTGATGCAGGGCGGCCTTGAGCTAAAGCGGGAAGCCGGGTCGATGGTACGGCGACTTTTTTAATTTTAACGCATTCTATTATACCCGTTCAGTACGTATATACTTGGGGGGGAAGCAAGCGGCATGTGGCTTTGTCTTTTTGGTGTATAATAATAGTTAGTAGCCTGCACGAGCAGAGGTGGCGGCGGACGGATGATTGAGCCTCGGCGATGACCCAGCGTGCCAGTATGGAGCAAAAATGGCGAAATGCGTTGCCATGGACCACATGACGATGAGCGTTTTTGGCTCAGATGCAACCGTGACTTTTTTTTTTCTCTTCCTGATGAGGTGTTTGTTCGGGTAGCAAGGCACCGCAGGGACGGTTTGAGGTGGTGTGCCGGACGAACCTATTTTCTGATTTGCGTGTTCAAGAGGCTCTGTGCACCAAACGCGGCGAGATCGACCAAGGTTCCGTCTGGTGCTACCCCAGGCTTTTTTCTTTTTTCTTGCCCACCCCCCGATGGCCGGCAGTGAGTTTGAGTGGTTTGCAAAGTTGGGATCCGTAGTTGCAGCCGGGGGTGATGATGACTGGGACGGGCGCGCGGGACAAGGACACCCCCAAGCGCAGAAAAAAAAAAAAAAAAAAGAAGAGAAAACGCCTCACCGCCACTGGCAATCTGGTAGGCGTAAGCGGGCACCTGCTTCTTCCCTGCATGCATGCGGATTTGTACCTGTTTTTCATATTGCCCATGACATGGGCAGGATTCACAAGTATGTACGTGCTTGTTGAGCGGGAGATATACCACCCCTAGAACTACTAGATGCTGTGAATCAGAAGAGTCGAGAAGATAGGGAAGCTACATATGATAAGTAGGATAGTCTAGTAACTAGTGAACTATACCAACAAAGATAGAATGATAAAATGGCCAGATTCGTCCAGCTATCTTACTCAACTAGTTGTACCTGCCGACTAGTCACTATCAGTGCTGGCTATTGGCAGCGGTTTCGGGGCCGATTTCTGCTTGCCCCACTGTCCAGGACCTCGCCCACGCCCACTCTCTCTGACTCTGCCTACAACTTCCTCAACCTTGAACAAAAAGACGGCCCTCGCTGCTCTTCCTCAACCCCCCGTTTGGGCTGTTCCTACTTGTCTCGTCCAAAGACTATTCAATTGACCTACTGCTTTGAGCACTCCCCGAAGGCGGCTCGACCGGCACATCTTTAGCCTTGTGCTTCTCTCTAGCGCTTATCACAAAAGTTGTTTGCTCTGTCCCATTTCAATCCGAGGAACCACACCGTACTTCCCCCTCCACGACCGGCCCTCAGACTTCGACCTCGTCCTCCTCCGTCTTTTCCAGCCTTTTCTCTTCTTCTTTCTATTGGGGGCTGTAGAAAAGTAAAGCATACATCGGGGGACATACGAAAAAAAAAAGAAGCCACCTGAAAACAGTCGACATGCTTTCCGTTATCTCTGTGGCCCTGCGCGCCGGCGCCAGGCGAGCCAGCCCGCGAACCGCCGTTGCTGCTGCTGCCGCTTCCTCGACCAAGATCCGATGCCCCAACCTCACAACCTACCGCGCCCTCTCCCAGTCCCGCGCCGTCGCCGGCCCCCCGGCCCGCGATCGCACCCGCGACCGCACCCGCGAAATCGTCGCCCAGACCGTCTCCAGCATCGGCTCCAAGCGCGAGGGCCAGCAGTACCTCAAGCTCTTCACCTCGGTCTCGTCCCAAAAGTTTGCCGTCATCAAGGTCGGTGGCGCCATCCTCACCGAGTACCTCGACGAGCTCTGCCGCTCCATGCTCTTCCTCTACGAGCTCGGCCTCTACCCCGTCATCGTCCACGGCGCCGGACCCCAGCTCAACCGCCTGCTCGAGGAGGCCGGCGTCGAGCCCCAGTTTGAGGAGGGCATCCGCGTCACCGACGCCAAGACGCTCGGTGTCGCCCGCAAGCTCTTCCTCGAGGAGAACCTCAAGCTCATTGACCGTCTTGATGAGCTCGGCGTCGCCACCCGCTCCATCTCGGGCGTCTTCATGGCCGACTACCTCGACAAGGAGAAGTGGCAGTATGTTGGCAAGATTACAAAGATCAACAAGCAGGCTATTGAAAACTCTATTGAGGCTGGCTATATCCCTGTACTTACCTCCATGGCCGAGTCGGACGACGGCCGTCTGCTCAACGTTAATGCCGATGTCGCTGCTGCTGAGCTTGCCCGAGCCCTCGAGCCCCTCAAGGTCGTCTACCTCTCCGAGAAGGGCGGTCTCTTTGACGGCGAGGGCGACAAGATTTCCCACATCAACCTCGACGAGGAGTTTGACCAGCTCATGTCCCAGCCGTGGTGCCGCTACGGCACCCGTCTCAAGATCAAGGAGATCAAGGACTTGCTCGACACCCTCCCCCGCACCTCCAGTGTCGCCATTATTCACCCCAGCGACCTGCAAAAAGAGCTCTTCACCGACTCTGGCGCCGGAACCCTGATTCGTCGCGGTGACAAGATTCAAAAGGTCAGCTCCGTTTCCGAATTTGAGGACATTGATAAAATCAAGGCCACTCTTATCCGGGACCGCGAAGGCCTAGACTCTGAGGCCACTGTCGACCGCTTCGTCGACTTCCTCAAGGAGAATCCCTTCAAGGCATACTTTGACGACGCTCTGCAGTGCCTCGCCATTGTCGTTCCTGCCGGCGAAGGCCGCACCCTGCCTACCCTCGCCACGCTCAACATCACTAAGTCGGGCTGGCTTACCAACGTCGCCGAGAACGTCTTTGCCGCCGTCAAGAAGGACTACCCGCAACTGGTCTGGACCGTCAGCGAAAACGACGAAAACCTGACCTGGTTCTTCGAAAAGGCGGACGGTAGCTTCAGCCACAACGGTAGTGTGCTCTTCTACTACGGCTGTGACCTCCGTTCCTCGGCCCTGTCCCCCGTCTACGACGAGTTTGTCTCTCACGGCCGCGCCATGCTCGGCGACACCAATCTCGAGTCCCGCTTGCGTCGCGCCGCCCAGACGGCCAGCGAGAACCTGAACCGCTCCCACGTCGCCCAGCAAGCGCGCGGCTTCTCCACGTCCCGCGTCATCGGTCCCCGAACCCCTAGCATGTCGCCCATGCAGCAGCAGCGCCGCGGCTACACGACCAACACCAACCCTAACCCTCCTCTAGGCAAGAAGAACGCCACAAACTCTGTCCCGGCGCGCGTCGCCCTCATCGGTGCCCGTGGCTACACTGGCCAGGCCCTCATCGACCTCCTCAACGCCCACCCCAACATGGACCTCCGCCATGTTTCGTCTAGAGAACTGGCTGGTCAGGAGCTGCAGGGATACGACAAGCGCAAGATTATCTATGAGAATCTCTCAGCCGAGGACTGCAGTAAGCTGGAGAAGGAGGGCAAGATTGACTGCTGGGTCATGGCACTTCCCAACGGCGTCTGCAAGCCTTTTGTCGACGCCATTGACGCCGCGGCCAACGGCAGGTCGGCCCACGAGAAGAGCGTCATTGTCGACCTGTCGGCCGATTACCGCTTCGATAGCAAGTGGACTTATGGTCTGCCGGAGCTGGTGCGCCGTTCGGAGATTTCGCAGGCCAAGCGCATCGCCAACCCTGGCTGCTACGCCACAGCGGGCCAGGTCGGCATCTCGCCCATCTTGGAGCACCTGGGCGGGCAGCCCACCCTGTTTGGCGTCTCGGGCTATTCCGGCGCGGGCACAAAGCCGAGCCCCAAGAACGATATCAACGAGCTCCGTGACAACCTGATGCCGTACAGTCTGACGGGCCACGTCCACGAGCGCGAGATGAGCAGCCAGTTAGGCACACCCGTGTCGTTTATCCCCCACGTCGCCTCGTGGTTCCGTGGCATCCACCACACCATCAACATTCCCCTCAACAAGACCATGACGTCGCGCGACATTCGCCAGATTTACCAGGATCGGTATGCCGGTGAGAAGTTGATCAAGGTGGTGGGAGAGGCGCCCCTGGTGCGCAACATCATGAACAAGCATGGTGTAGAAGTGGGTGGCTTTGCCGTGGACAGCACCGGCAAGCGTGTTGTTGTGTGCGCGAGCATTGACAACCTCCTCAAGGGTGCTGCCACACAGTGTCTGCGTAAGTTACCTCGACTGCGACCCTCGTTTGATGTTACTTGTCGAACTTGAAGCTAATTTAGAACAGAAAACATGAACCTGGCTCTCGGCTATGCCGAGTTTGAAGGCATCCCCACCATGTAAATGGTAGGGAGAGTTGACTACAAATTAAGAAAATTCGCAAAAAAAGCCTTTTACTATAGAGAAGAACAGAACCTGAGCGAGTGCTTTATCGTGCGGCAGGCAGAGAGAAGACGGGGGTGTTTTTGTTTAGGCCTGTGGTTGTTTTTTGTATTTACATGTATCATGGGTTTAGTGTTGTTCATTTTTGAACAAGTCAGAAAGACTTGGCGGATGGGATAGAAATTAAATAAAAATTTGATACAAGATGTCTGGTGTACTCTCCTATGCCCTTGAACAACGATGAGCGGTGCGACATGCGAAACTAATCCTATCATGGCGGGTGTGAAACTCTGGGGGCTTTATCAACCACAGATGGCGACTCATTTCTCGCTCGTACTGAATAGTCAGAAATATCGAATGCACACAATAATGATAACGTACGAGATAGATAGATTACCAGTGTGTACAAATCAATTACAGGAATTCATTCGTCAGCAAATGGGATATAATATGGTATATATAATCTGCTCAGGTCACGTGCTAAAAAACGTGACCCGTCGGGCCATGACGTTGCGGGAAGAACCAAACAGGGCTCGGCGCAGACCCTTGGCGTCGGGTCACTGAATAGTTCAAGACAATAGCACTTACATCTCTCCAAACCTGCCCGACACGGATACGCGAAAACAATTTGGACCTTATCTGGACACTTGTGAAAATTACCGGCAAAACCGTACCTGGATAAACAAAGGAAAACACCGCTCTTGGGACCGGGATAAGTTCGAAGGGGATCGATCTGCAGCGCGCTGTTTAGCCTGAGCCATGGCGAGCGAAGTGAGTGTCTCTCTTTTTTTTTAGCGGCCGTCTGCCCTTGATCTGGCTCTTTTTTTTGCCTTGATATTTCTTTTGCCACCTGCTTTGGCTACCCAAAGCAGAGCCTGGCCAGTCAAGCGATTTGCAGCCAATACGCAGCCAAAACCGGTTTGTGCTTGTTTGGTGGTTTGTTTGGGCCGGGGTGCCTCTCTAACCGCACATTACCCCACCACTACACATCGCCGCGCTAGCCCACAGGCAGTTTATTACGGTGCACACAATCCTTGCTTCTGGTTGTGCCGGGCGGCGATACTTTTTCTGAGTCACCCACCAATTTTCTTCCCCCCCCACGCGATCCAACCAGCAACACGAAAAACGATCTCAATTCATCGCAACCGTGTTTCCAATTCCATCATTCTTTTTTTTTTTCCCCTCGCAAACTTCGGCTTACACGACAACGCTTTAACCCTCTAGGACCACTCCCCTTCCGCCGCCGCCGAGCGCAAACCCCGCAAGTCCGTCGCCTTCACCGACGAGCAGCTAGTCGTCGACGCTGACGGATCCGTCACCATGGTCACCGCCGCCGACGAAGCCCCCAAGGACACGGCCCAGTCCCATGCCGCCCGTACGCCGCCTCTCTCTGCCGCCCTGGGCGCGTTCCATACTGATGCCGTTGCCGCTGAAGCTACCACCACCGATGCCCCCGCCCCCGAGGACGACACTGGTCTCGACCTGTCCCTCCTGAAGAAGAAGAAGAAGAAGGCGTCCAAGAGCAAGGAGGAGGAGGACGGTGCGGAAGCAGCCGACGAGGACGGCGGCCTGGACCTGTCGATGAAGAAGAAGAAGAAGAAGAAGGCCAAGGACGCCGCCGAGGACGACGACTTTGTCGCCAAGCTCAAGGAGCTCGAAGTCCAGGAGGAGCAGCAAGGCGGTGCTGCCGCCGCCGGCGGCGGCTCCTCGGCGACCCCCGACGCCGACGCCGGCAACATGGAAACCGGCACCGGCATCTGGGCGCACGACGAGACGCGCAGCATCAACTACCCGCTGCTGCTCAGCCGCTTCTTCACGCTGCTGCAGCAGAAGAACCCGGACCACGCGCTCAGCGGGACCAAGACGTACAAGATCCCGCCCCCGCAGTGCATGCGCGAGGGCAACCGCAAGACCGTCTTTGCCAACATTGCCGAGATTTGCCGCCGCATGAAGCGCTCCGAGGAGCACCTGACCTCGTACCTCTTTGCCGAGCTCGGCACCATTGGCTCCGTCGACGGCAGTCGTCGCCTGGTCATCAAGGGCCGCTGGACGCCGGCGCAGCTCGAGACTGTGTTGCGAAAATACATTAGTATGTTTTTTTGTTGCCGCTTGCTACGTTTGTTCTTGTTCTTTTGAAGGAACTTCTTTTAAAGGAACTTCTTTTAAAGGAACTTCTTTTAAAGGAACTTCTTTTAGAGGAAAAAAGAAAACAACCCCCCCCCCCCCCCCGTACATGCCCCAGTTCGCTAACACAAAACGCCCATAGTCGAATACGTCACCTGCAAGACTTGCAAGTCCCCCGACACCGAGCTCAACAAGGCCGAGAACCGTCTCTACTTTGTCACCTGCAACAACTGCGGCTCCCGCCGCTCCGTCACCGCCATCAAGACTGGTTTCTCCGCCCAGGTCGGCAAGAGAAAGAAGATGCAGGGTTAAAGAACCTTTGTCGACAGTTGTGAAAGTAGTGGGTTTGCAAAAGCATTGGCCCTGTTTTTCTTCTCTTGACTACGCGCGCGCGCGGCGGGGAGGCTATTCATTCTCCTTTCAAAAGCAACGTCCATTTTTGCAGATTGTATACCCTAGTACAAGCCCCAGGTTGTCAATGAGTTTTTTTTTAGTTCTTTTTAAAACTACTCGTCTCATACATGATAAGGGGGGCTGGGATATTTCTGCGCAGGATGAGGATAAAAACCGGGCGTCAATGAAGGATCGATCCAATGCATGGAGAGAAACGGAACAAGGGAGAAAAGTAGCGAGGACAGAGAAAAACGTACGTAGTCGGGCATGTGTGCGGAGGAGTTGGGCCTCGCAGCCATGTACATAAACGCTGCAAATGACAACGAAACCTATGAAAAAAAATCACAATTCTTCGTCCATTTCGTAAGCAGCAGCAGCAAGTGAACTAGATGCGAGCAACGAGAATCAAGGACAAGTCACGGCAGAGGGGTGGCCGATGATATGGCTATAATAAAAGAAAAAGCAGAGTATGCCCATGTGTGGAATTTATACCGCTAGTTAATGCCGTTTCTGCCCCCAGTGTCTCCTTGCATATACAGTAAGAAGGAAGAAAAGAAAATCATGTTTTGTGAACGAAAAAAAAAGCAAGAGAAAAGCATAACCTGCTGCCTCCTTATAACCCCAAATCTTTGCATCCCTTAGGTATCCAGAACCGCAATGTTTTTTGTGTGTGTGTTGCGTTTGGTGCGTCGAGCGCAACAAATACAAGATATGACAAGAAAAACCAACTAAAAGCCGTATAAACAAAACATTGTTTCAGACCGTCATCTTCTTTGAAAAGTCCCTGTTCCTCCCCAGTCTTTCGGTATCGTGGTCGGACAGAAAATAAAAAAAGCAAAATGCTATCTTACATCATCATTCGCCATCTAGAAGCTGCCCGGGACATGACCGTTCGCGACCTCGTCCAGTAAAATCTCTTCGACAGGCGGGTCCTGCTGCGTGATCAAGGCCGCTTCGTCGGTGTGCTGCTGGACTTCGGCCTGGGCTTGCGCCAGACATGTGCGCAGCCAGTCGGCCAGGCGATGCTTGTCCACGTTTTGCTTGAGCGCCTTGTCCTCCCACCCCATGGCGTCGAGTAGCTTGGCGTGGAACTCGGGGCCGAGCTCGCGGAAGCGACGGTCCAGCTCCTCTGTGAAGGCACCGAGCGCCTCTTGCGCGCTCATAGGGCGAAAGGGGTCGCGCGGGTCCTGGAAGCGCACACAGTCGATGAAGACCGCGAATAGCTCCGTATTGGCCAGCTGCGCCACCACCTCGCGATCATTCTTGAGCTGCGTGTCATTCATGTGGGCCCAGTCGTCGCGGATGAAGAGTCGCCGCCAGATGAGCCGCTTCGCCTCCTTGACCTCGTCGGCGTGGCAGCTATTCTCTGCCACCTTGAGCGCCATCCAGAACGGGTGCGCAATGTCAACTTTCTGCTCTGGTTTGAGGGAAACGAGTGTAAGGAGGTCAATGAGGGTCATGGCGTCGAGGGCTTCGTGCTTGAGCAGTCGCTCCATGCCATCCTCAAAGACCTGCAGCAGGGCTTTTTGCCGACGAGGGATGTTGGTGCTGTGCGCCTCCATGGCAAAGTTGAGCGCGGCGGCTTCGTCCACAGCATCGTAGGTAGTGGCAAAAATTTGATTGTAGAGCTCATCTTGAATCTTAAGCGTGATGAGTTCCTTATCAACCTTCGCAAGTTGACGCTCTTGACGCGATTCGTCGAAGGAGACCTTTATGCCGTTGGGCTGCTCTTGGTTCACTTCAGCTTCTGCTAGCAGGGCAAGCTTGCCAAGGCTTAGCTCAACTCTCTTGTTCCAGGCTTGCTGCTCTTTGGTGAGGGCTAGGCTGACAAGCGTGTCGGCAGCATGGTCGACATCCTTTTCCTGGTCAATATCATGGATCCATGAAATGCGGGCGAGTTCGGGTCTGCTGCGCAAGAACTGAGTCTTGAATCCGAGCGTCTCAAGCTCGAAGTTCAGAACCGACTCGACGCCGTGCTTCTCGAGGAGGAATTCGTAAATGGGGAAAGCAAAGTCTTTGCCATAGCGGCTGAACCTATCTTCAAGTTGCGTCTTTTTCCCTTCGCGAAGTGCCCTCAAAGCCTTCTCTTCGACAGGCGGTATGCCCTCTTGCGCCAACTTCCCCTCCAGGTAGTCGACATGGTCCAGCAGAATCACAGCAAGGCCGTGCAGAGATTGATGTTTCTCTGCGAGCAGTGCACCTTCTTCCCATTTTCCAGCTCTAGCCAAGAAAACGGGTTTCTCGAATCGGTCGGTAGCATAGACCGTGGAAAATGTTTGGGCCAATTCCTTGACTTTTTCGTCTTGAGATGTGGCTGCCCAGCGAGCATATTCAAGGACCGACGTCAGCGCCGCGTCAGTCAGCGAAGGGAGCTCATTAAAAATATTTTTCAGGATTGCTGGGTCAGGCGTGCCATCTCCTTGCGCTGCTTCTGCAGCTATTGACTGGTGCTTCTTGTACCATTGGTCAGAAAGATCGAGAAGACGCTTGGCATTGTTTGCGATGAATTGAGAGCCCGTCCATGGCGCTGGCATGCCCTCATAGCCTTCTCTTAGGATGCCGAGACTCATTCTCTCGTCAGCGAGGCCGTAAAGCTTCAGGTTTTCTTTTCTGAATTCCAAAGCACCAAAGTGTGCAACGACATTGACTTGAATTGCCTCGTTCATCAACATGGTGATTTTGGCATCGTCGAGTATCGAGAGCCGATACAGAGTCTTGATGACCTCATACGCCCAAGCCACGAAGAGGTCCAGCCGGAACACGTCATTGATGAACCAATGACGGACGGCATCGACTTCACCGGCAGCAGCCACTGGGTTTGATTTCTGACCCTCGTGGATGAACTCCACGATGGATACAACCAGACTCTTCTTATCATCAGCCGGCCGCGCAACTGTAAAAGCTTCGTGGCGTTTCCAAAGCAGAGTGGCAACATGCATCTTCTCCGCATTGTGGAGTAGGGTCCATCGTGTTTTCCGGTCTACATCGGCTCCCATGGACTGGAGATGTCGTATTAAGCGGTCTAGGGCACCTGAGCGTTCTCGAAGGTTGTCTTCCAGGGAAGCAGGTAAAGTCGGCATGTATGTGGTTGTAGAGCTGAGGATCTCCTGGCTGACTTTGAGTGCAGCTGCAGAAAGCTCTGTGCCTGTGAAGGAAGCCTCGCGTCGTCCATCAAAAACGAGCGGGCTTTCCTTTCGCGAGCCGAAAAATACAGTCTGCTCAAGTTTGCTCTTCGCCGAGACTTGAGGGGCTTGCTCGCTGGCGAACTTGTCAATGTCGGTGGTAATGATGCGGATGACACCAGCACCGCGAACCATGAGCAAGACTGCCGGATTTCTTGTCGTCCGTTGACGGAGGATGCGGTTGTCTTCTTGTGTTACTGACGCCATTTCCTCAAAGCCAGATCCGACGATTTCGTGAATATCGTCTTCACGGAAGTCAATCACATCCTCGAATGAAGGGGGTAGGATGTGGTTGTCGGTTTGGAGTTGTGAGTCTGGGGATTCGGGTGGAATTGCGATAGAGGCCATGACGGTAGCTCTCTCAAAGACAACAAATGCAACGAGAGCGGGTCGGGGGAGGTACAGCCGGGGGGGAGAGGATGCTTCACCAGCGGCTCGTGGCAAGGGCGTGGAATATGAGGTGATTGGACGTGTCACGCCAACCTTGCACGAGTTTGCTTTGAGAATGACCTCGACGAGCGAGTAGCGCGCAACGCTCTTGCGGGTTAGAGAGACAAGGAGCAGCAGGTGTTGAACAGAAGCGTCGTCTGTAGCCATGGCATCACTCAGCCTGCTCAGCTCGAGGTACTTGTGCTCGAGGCCCTTGGGGACAAAGGTAAAGTCGAGAGCCTCCAAGGAGTCGGGCGCAAAGTCTTTTGTGTATGGGTCGGCTTCGTCGAGGGCTGAGTATATGGAATCGCGCATCTCGGCCTCGCCAATGTGCTCATTATGACCGCCGCGGTGAATCTTCCAAGCCTGAAGCTTGCACTTTGTGGTGAGCGCTACAATATTGCGCTCGCCTACGCGCGCTGATCGATCGGCGCGCACAGCGGCAATTTCGCCGCGCAATGACAGGTTGGAGAAGGCATGACGAATACTGCCAAAAATGCCACCACCGGAGCTGGCAAGATTTGAACGTAGAAACTGTACAGAGATGGCGGGTCGACCGTGGTTGTCACGAACACTCATGTAGGCTAGACGACCTGAGTTGAACGTGATGATGAAGCCCGCAGACTCCGCGTTTATGATGGAGGTGACTTTTTCTCCATGGGACATGCCCGAAATATTGTGCTCGACTCCGGATCGGTCCTTCTTGATGAAGGCAAATGTAGCGGCGCTAGAGATGGATTCCCAAAAGACGACTTTGCCGCTGCTGGCGGTAACAACAACCAGTCCAGGTTCTGTGGAGGAGGCTGATGGGGAGACGAAGGATCCGACGGGGAGGGGGTCACTAGATCTGCCTGGCGTCGGCAGGGTAAATGTGAAAGTCTCGGGGGATTGCGATGTCGAATTGTATGGCCAGACAAGGGCGCTTGTTTGCGTGAGTGTTAACGCGTATCCGAAGGCAGACGAGACATCGGCATGTTGCTTGACTAAAGAATTGTTAGCAGACGAGTAAATGAGCAAGGGATTAGAACTCACCGGCCCAGTCTGCACGGATTCTATCCGGAATCGCAGGTAGCTTGCTAACGATGTAGGCATTGGTGCTGGTCTGGAGTGGTACAATTAGAATGTTTGTTGCACAAGCTTGAAAACTCTGCCAACTCACCAATACGACACTACCATCTCCCTTTGACGCAGCTCTCTCCGCGTGTTTCGACTTTTTTGTGCGGACGTGTAATTCCTTGCGCGGCAGGGGGTTGATGTTTTCGATGCCAGCATCGTCAACGGGCTGGACCGGGGCGCGCTTCTCGACGACCAGAGCCTCGACAGTAGGCTGCTCGGGGTTGAGAAAGGTTTGCTCCGAGAGCGGCAGGCGCTGGCGCTTCGCCTTGGGCTGTGGCACGAGGCTCTCCTGGGACTTGGGACGTTGGCGACGGCGCGAGCGGGTGGCGGTCGCTGGGCCGCCCTCATTCGCGACGGTGGTGGAAAACATTTCGAGGCTACGGAGAGGTGGAAAAACGCAGCGCGCAACGGGGCAGGTGAGAGGTGCACAGGGCAGGAATGGCGAGAAAACAAAAACAGATGAAAAGTTAGATGGATAATGATGAGGCGCGATGCATGTTCGGGTATGCAGGCAGCCTGGGGACGAGAGAGGCCAAGGTGAGGATGGGCGGAACTTGTTGATGCTAGTCTGTGGAAGGCAAGGCAAGTTATTGGCGGTCGACGAAAAACAAAAGGCAGAATAACGTGAGCTGGTGCTACATACCTAGGTACGCTGGAGCCCGCTGGAGCTAACAGAGGTACTGCTGCGTTGGCGCTGCCGCTGGCGCCCAATGGATCAGATGTATCTTTGTACCTGGTGTTGGTAGCCAAGGTACCTGTGCTTTCTACTCGGTACCTTGGGCAGCTTGCGGCTTGACGGGAGTACGTGCCGTCCGCCCCAGATCTGGTGGGGGTGTCTGTACCAGTTGTTATGTACCTGTGGCTGGTACTCGGATCAGCGAGGTGCCGCCTTGCGTATTCGAGGGTTGAGCTATTCAAATCACATTCTATTGAGTACTGCATAACTGTCAATTCATTGCTTCTATCGAATTTCATGTCGCCTCACTCTGTCATCACATGGTAAAACCTCCAATGGTGAGATGTCATCAGCAACAGCTTGCATGTACCGAGCTACATACTTCCAAGTCGTAACCGAGCTAATTAAGTTCAACAATTAACCCTTGCCTGCAGCCTCGTCAACGTCGTTCCTCGAGACACGTCACCAATGCACCCACTCACACAACATAGGCTGAAGCGCTGCACCGCTTGACTTCTCTCCGCCGTCATGACTTGGGCCCGACCAACGCCACGCCTCGCGCTTAATCAGGCTTAGCGGCCTTTTTTTTCCCGGCAACGACATCGTCCATATCGAATCTCGATCACCGAGCCGAGCGACCGCCACTCGCCGCTCAATTGCCCACCGCGCGCACATGGGAGCTTCTCCCTTCGTCCCCCCGCCACCATGAGGCGCTTCTCCACGGCCGTCACCATCACCGACCCGCTGGTCAAGTATCAGAGCCTGCTGTCCGCCGGCGTCTACTGCCCGGACCCGGCCCAGCACCGCCTCGCCCGCCACCTGCGCAAGGTCTACCTCCGGATCAAGGATTACTCCCCGCAGCGCGAGTACCAGCAGCGGCTGTCGCAGGCCGCGCGCCTCACCGAGTCGTCGCGCCCGGGTGAGGGGTCGGACAACATCCTCGCCGTGCCGAGTCACGCGATCTGGCGCAACCCGCTCTTCAAGCACCTGCTCCCGAATGCGGAGACGCGGGACAGCGTCGCCCTGACGCGCGTGCTGCAAAACCACGAGCTGGCGATTGAAATCGACTCGCCAAAGGGTCTCTTTCTCTCGGGCGAAGTAGGCACCGGCAAGTCCATGCTGCTGGACCTGCTGGCCGACGGACTTCCTCACCAGCGGAAAAAGCGCTGGCACTTCAACACATTCATGTTGTACACCTTTGCACAGCTCGAAAAGTACCGCTCAGCAAACCAGCAAAGTGCATTGAGACGCCGCAATGAAGAGCATTCGCTGCTGTGGATGGCCAAGAAGCTGGTCGACGAGTCGCCCATTCTCTTCTTGGATGAGTTTCAGCTTCCTGATCGCGCCGCCAGCAAAATTCTCAGCCACTTATTCATTGCCTTTTTTCAGCTTGGCGGCGTGCTGATTGCCTCGTCCAATCGAGTACCCGAAGACTTGGAAAAAGCTACGGGTGTCGATTACACAAATGCCCCGCGCCTAGGCATCATGCGCAAATTCTTTGGAGGCGGTCGTGCTGGCAGCGAGTTGTACGGCCAAGCTAGTGATTTCTCTAAGCTCCTGGAAGTTCTCAAGGCTAGATGTGACTTTTGGCAAATGGAAGGCGTTCAAGACTGGCGGCGGCGTGAAGATACCGGGCTGCAACTCGAAGAGGCAGCGGGGAACTTGCGTGATCTGACTGGGTCAGTCGCAGCAAAAGAAGACGACGCTCCAAAGTCGGCCGACAGACCGCCAAGTTACTTTATCAGCGGCCAAGGGGATGAGAACTGGCCTGACTATATAAAAGAAAAGGCGTTTGGAAGCAGTCCTGACAACAAGTGGACGTCAGAAACCATTGTTGTCTATGGCCGCACAGTAGTCATCCCGCAGCACCACAAGGGCACCGTCTTTTGGGATTTTGAGCAGCTAGTCGGCACCTTTGGTCCAGCAGACTATATTACGATGGCGTCATCATACCACACATTCATCATTGATAACGTGCCCGCCCTGTCCATTCTGCAGAAGAACGAGGCACGCCGCTTCATCACCTTTCTCGACGCCCTCTACGAAGCCCGCTGTAAGCTCGTCGTCCGCGCCGAGCGGTCCCCCGACCATCTCTTCTTCCCCGAGCCGACCAAGAAGCCGACCAGCGCATCCGGCGACACCGCCGAGGACGGCGACGCCACCTACTCGGAGACCATTGCCGAGGTGTACCAGGACCAGATGGCGCCGTTCCGCCCCAACATTGCCTACTACGACACCAAGAGCGCCACGGCGCGGTACGACCCAGACCAGGACTCGGACTTTGGGCTCGAAAAGCAGCAGCAGCAGAAGCAGAGCGGGGTCAACTTTGGCAACATCGGCGCGTTTACTGGCGAGGACGAGCGCTTCGCGTACAAGCGCGCCGCGTCGCGCCTGTGGGAGCTGTGCAGCGCGCGCTGGCACGCCCGCACGGGGTGCTGGTGGCAGCCGCTGCCGCTCGAGGCGCGGCACTGGGAAGGCGGCGTGCCAGCGCAGCGGCCGCTGGACGGACCCGTGTTGGGCGGGAAGCAGCCCACGGGGGAAAGCATGGGCGCGAGCGTCGACGCCGACGAGGTGGCGGGATTGTCGCGCTACAGGATCGAACATATGAAGCAGAGCGGGGACCCGGAGCACAGATAGATGGGCCCCCATCTTTTTAGAGATATAAAGATAGAATTGGATAGAGAAAACGGTGTGTATATTTTAGTATAGACGGTGGATAGCGAGGTGTAGGCCATCCCAAGTTGATGTAAATGTTGAAAACGCTTCTAAGAAAAACGCCAATTATGTCCCAGCCAAGACGAAGCAAACCACAGAGCACCCTCCCCCGCCGTGTTTCTCACGACTCCAACCCTCGTCCTCTCCTGCCCTCCCATCTTCTCACAAGCTCGTCACGCCCGGCGTCCACGACTCGCCTATACGCCTCATGGCCTCTGCGAAGCTCTTACTCGTAATCTTTGTGCCGCCCTGTCCGCCCGGCGGCGCATGCAGGTCAGGTTCGTAAAACGGGTTCTGGAGGAGCCTGACGTAAGCGTTCTGCATAGCCTTGAAGACGGGCTTGAGCTCAGCGTCGCGCAGCCCAGCGCCCTGCGACGACAATGACGACGACGCGTCGGCCGAGCGCAGCACGGTGCCGTCGACGCGGCGCCCGCGCATGTCGACGACGCACACCAGCCGCACGCCCGTGTTGGTCTCGAAGCCGTACGCGGCGAGCCGGTCGTCGACGGCGTGCAGCAGGCCGCTCGTCGCGAGGTGCTCGTGCTTGGCGCGCAGCGCAAACACGTCCACCGTCGAGGAGAGTAGCAGCGAGAACTCGAGCGGCGTCCGGATCGGCGCCAGCGTGTTGGTGGCGGTGTCGTGCGAGGGAAAGGTGGACATGTGTAGAGGGTTGTTCTGGGGGGGGGCGGAGGGCGGTTAGCGCGTGGTTTCGCGGGGAGGGGGAGGGGCGCGTACATTGCGGCCAATGACGCCGAGGCAGGCGATGGAGGGTATCGCGGTCGTCATGATGGGCTGGTTGGGGGGGTTGCAGGATGGAGGTTGCGGGAGCGGGAATGTCTTGAAAGCTTGGGTGCAAGGGGAGCGGTAGTGGGGGAGGCAGCTCGGGAGCTTGGTGGGCACTGGGCAGGAGGCATCTCATCCTCGGACGGCGCATCAACTCTCAACACATGTGCACTAATTCTAGAAATTACACCGATTTTAATCACATTGGTATATATTATAGGTACAGACTTGTTGAAACTTGTTCAAGTCTGCATTTGCCGCCGCTGCATGCTGCGCAGCCCCATAGGTAGTAAATGATGATGCTTCCCAGGGAGTCCTCCCAATCGATAGCCATGCTAAACCCAAAACCCGTTCCCAACCCAGTAAAAAAGGAATTAATGCCCGCTAAATACAAATAATGTTTCTCTCTGACCACCACCACCACCTCAGCCATCGTCTTCCCACTCCTCGTCGTCCATGATGTGCGCCGTCTCCTCGAGTCCGCGAATGACCTCCTCGACCTCGAGCGGGTCGGTAATGGCCCAGACGCCGCCGCCCTTGACCATGTCCTTGCCGCGCATGCCGACCTCCTTGCCGACCAGGTTGCGGCCGACCTTGCCGGGTCCGATGCCGACCCAGCGGCGAACCTTCTCCTGCTTGTCCAGGTAGCGGATGCTGTCCCACCAGCGGACGGTCTCGAGGCAGCCGCGGGCGAGCAGCTCCTTGAGCTCCTCCTTGCTGCGAAACGGGCGGGCGGTGACGTTGCTGATGGCCTCGACGGCGCCGGGCCAGGTGACAATATCCTCGTGCTCGCGGCCGGGGACGCGGCTGCGGCCGTGCAGCAGCCGGCGCATGACGCTGACGGCGGGCTTCATGAGCGGGCTGTGGAAGGGGCTGTCGCTGGCGAGCCGGACGGCGCGCGGGTCGTGGCCGTGGAACTGGCGCACGTGCGCGAGCAGGGTGCGGATGCGCTCGATGCTGCCGCTGAGCACAATCTGGTTCTTGCTGTTGATGTTGGCGATGAGCACCTGCTCGATCGGCGGCACGTCGAGCTCGCCGCTACTACGGCTACTGCTGCTGCTGCCGCGCGCCCCGCCCGCGGGCTCGGCGCCGTACGCACTCGAGTGCCCGACGAAGTCGTGCACGGCGTCAATGAGCCCGGGGAGGTGGCCCGGCTCGGTGATCATGGCCACCATGCCGTACTCGCCGCCGTACTCGGCGACAGCCTGCTGCGTCGCCCGCGACATGGCGGCGGCGCGCTCGCGCACCAGGTACAGGGCGTCGGGGAAGCTGAGGTAGCCGCCGGCGACGAGGGCGGCAAACTCGCCGAGGGAGTGGCCGAGGGCGACGTCAAAGTGATCCGCGACGCGAAAGTTGTATTCTTGTTCGAGGATGCGCAGGATGATGATGGACGTGGCCATGATGGCGGGTTGTGAGTTGGTCGTTTGCGTGAGCACCTTGGAGGGCCCATTTTGGATCACGTCGGAGAGCTTGAAGCCCGCGTAGTGGTCCATTTCCTCCATGATCCGGGCCGTGGTCGCGGGAAAGGCCTCGATCCACGGCGTGAGCATGCCGACTTTTTGGACGCCCTGACCTGTTGTGTGTGTTAGTTGGGGGGGAGAATGACTCAATCTCACGTCGCGCCCCAAGGCCGCACTACGCGACAGGAGAGTAGGACGATTGCGTACCTGGAAAGAAAATGGCCGTCCTCGCCCGGGACACGGGCCCGGAGCTCCAATGCCGTCGCGGAGCGGTGGCCGCCTTGGCCCGCGACAACCCCCGGCGGACCGGCGGCGAGGCAGCGAACCGGTGGTGCATCTCAGAAAGAGGGCCCGAAGCTGAGTGGGTGGATGAGTGGGTGCTTCTTTATCAAGATGACGCTCTCATTTCCACGTCAGACCGAGCATGTGAGAGAGAGGGAGACGATAAGGAAGTGGTTCGCGGGGCAAGAAGAAAAAGCGAGTAGACAGGCGCAAGGAACAAAGGGCGAGGGTTTGATTTGCGTTGCGTTTGGTTGTTGTCTCGTCGGCTCTGAGGAAAAAATAGCGGGGGCTCGGGTGTGGAGAGGAAATGACGGCCGACTTGCATAAGCCACTGTTTGCCGGGGACCCCACGGGCGGGTAAATCAGAGGGGGCTGTGGAATTAGTTACAGAGCTGGCATTAAATTATAGGTAAATTACAGTGGGATGAACTTGAAGTGTCTGCTGCAAGTCTAATGCTCCTGCGCAGAGACTCCCTAGATCGCCATCACTGTCGGCCCTGACCAATCGCCACGCTTCCATCACCTCGGATGCATGTCCTACTGGGTCCGTTGCAACGTTCTTATTCTGCCCTCATAAGCATACTACTAATAAGTGAAATGCCAAGCAAGCAGGCTTACACACTAGCCTCGATCTTGTTTGCATATCTGCTTCTTTGACATTTCCTGTCTTGTGCCTCTTGTCCCCTTTTGAGTTTCCTTCATTCCATGTCTCATGTCCGTGGTTTCATCATATGTGCGTGTAAAGTCCTCCAATCTATCGAGCATCTAGGTAGTCACAATCAACACACGCTCTTTTCTCGCCTTTCTTCAAACCCTCTCTAGCATCGCAGCTCCACGCCGCCTTTGCTCACCGTCAGGTATTTGACCCCCTTGTACGGCTTGACCCCCTCGCCCAGGCCCCGACTCTTTCGCGTGTCCAGCACGATGCTGTCCACCTTGAGCCCGCTCGCCAGCCAGCCCTTGACGGAAAAGTTGACTGATGCGGAGCTCGGCATAAGAATCTTGTTTTGCGCCGCCTTTTGCGCGTCTTGTTCGTCGCCGCCGCCCTCGCGTGCCTTGCCCCCTTGCGCAATTGTGGCCGCCGGCACGCTCTGGTACGGCTCGTTGTAGGAATAGTCTTGTCCAAAGCCGGATCCACTAGGATCAAAGGCGTCCTCTTGCTCCTCGTTGCTCGGGGCCCCCACAACGGTGCTGCGCAGCCCGAAATGCGACGTCGGTCCGCTCAGTTCCTTGGTCGCAATGTGCCACTCTAGTACTCTTTGCCCGGGGTTGAAGCTCGCGTCACCTCTGCTTGGGCGTATATCGGAAAGATTTCTGACATCCGCCGGAAGGGGAATCGTGACGACTAAATCGTCGAGCAACGGCGAGGCTGGCGTGCCCGGGTGTGGGGATCCTAGACGGCCAGGGACGCCACCTCGCCCGACCTGACTAGAGGATGATGGCCCAGGAGTCCCGAATATTTTGTTGACTTGTAATCGCACTTCAAACTCTGAACCAGTCGGTCCCAGACCGGTCTTCATCTCCAGATTCACCGGCAACTTGAGAGAGCTGCTGCTGAGGCTGCCAGACTTGCCGCTTGTAAAAGGAAGCAAGTCGACCTCGTAGCCCGCGAGGATGAAGCGACCATCTGGCGGAATGAAGCTGAGCTCACCTGGTCTTTCCTTCCACCGATTTAGTCTCACGCAAGGATGGAAGACGGGTAGTTCCATAAAGCTCCCCAGATTGTGTTTCCCAGAAGGACTGGTGAGGTTGACCGTGATATCCGGGATTCCAGAGACCTTGGCTGTAAAAGCAATCGTTCCGTTTGCAAATGCAGCCAATGGTCTTCCTGATGGGGCGAGAGTAACTGACAATGTCTCTACAACATCGGCGTACATTTCGTTTGAGGTGTGTCGTACGTTCGCTCGTCGCCATGGTAGTGATGTCCCTGTCGTCGGTAATAGCGAAGGTGCGTTTGTGGCAGAGTTGGACTGTAGTTTCCTGTGCCGTGTTAGTACTCTTCTATAAAGAACCATGATTCAAGTGTCATACCCCGGCAGGTTGATGCTTCCCAACAGCTTGTCCACCCAGCCTTCCACCTCCACCACCTCCCGCAGCGCATTAGGCTCCGTTGTGCTTATGTGTCCGGCATCGCACATCTCCGTCAGGAGCTGCGCGACAATGTCATAGTTGTTTTCGATCTTGACCGCCAGCAGCGGCGCGCCGACAAAGTCCTCCAGCGCATCGACGACGCGGTGCAGGAACTCGAGCACCAGCAGCGGCTCAATCTCGCTCGACGATGTCGCCAGGAAGAGTAGGCGGCCGTGTGTCAGGCTAAAGACGAGCGTCGGCGGGTTCGTGTTGGCGAGGTAGATTAGGTTCGGCCGCGGCGCAGGGTGCTCGAGGTAGAGGGGCAGGAGGTGCGCGGCGGACAGCGGCCTCCCGGCGTACTCGTGGGACAGAATGGGACTCCTGGGGGCTATTAGCGCCGGGGTGCTTTTACATGATAATTTTGTAGCATACCTGTTGTCATCAAAGATGTGAACAGCTTCAATGACGCCGCCCATGGTGACAGTCCGCTGTGCGCAGTGCTGTGAAAGCTGGTTGAAGCCGACTTGGGCTCTCTGCCCCACACGCGACACCAAATGACGAAGCTCTGGAAGCTTGATGCTGACTAACATTTTTATCAACTCCCAGCAATCTGCGACCAGACTTTCTTTTGAATTGCAAACCGATACGAGAACAAGAGCTTGCAATCATTTCCAGCGCTAAGCTTCAGGTTCCATACTCGACATGGCCGGCGACAAGGTTCCCTCGATCCACCAGCTGGAGAAGCCCGAAAACGTCCACGAGATGCTGCGCAAAGACCGACAGGAAGACTGCCTGTCCTGCAAAGTTGTCGGTACGGCACGCGGCCCGAATAAAAGAAGAGTGAAAGAATACGACTGACGGAGGCGATTTCGTAGGAAGCGGTGCGTTTCTCGGTCTCGCGGGCTACAGTTACTTCTCCGGCATGTCGCAGCTGGAGCGACAGCGTAAGGCGATTCTCCAGAGCAAATCCATGTTTGGCATGCGCAGCCGCAAGGCCGGAATCGTTGGCATATCGCTTGGCTTGGCGTACATGGGATTCTGGCGAGCCTTTTTCTAGCCGACGTACGGACGTGACGCTACGAAGACATATGCTGGTGCTCGAGGCGGACACGGACAGCGAGCGAATCTAGACGCTGACGAAGCTTGCTACAGCTGCAGGTTTCATGTATTTATACTGTATTGTACGCCAACTCGGCACATGCCACTTAATTACGATACCCAATTACTGGGTTCATCGACGCCATACCTCTGGTGAAGACCTGTTCTTTTAGTAATATGCTTGGACTGAATCGAGCACTCCGAAAGTTGTAGACAGTCTTGAAATGTAGACAACTCAATTCCCAGGTTAAGACATATTTGCGAAGCAATTTTTATATCTTCAAAATTTGTCTACGCAGCGTCGGCCTAATCATCCTGGAACGAGCTCGGTGGAGCTGTCACTGCGACCTCTCGACACAGCAAAAATCTCTGCCCCACATTCGACTTCTCTCATCAAGCCCATTTCAACGGTTAAACCGTCACTCACAAGAAACACTCAATCGCGAATGACAAGCTTGAAAATTGCGGCTTATCACATCCATAAGCTATAATCTCGATTCCAGACTAAGAAGCCTGGCGACAGTCGTCGCCTCCGGCCATCAACACCGGCACTCGTCAGCAACAAACACATCCACCAAAAATGCCCATCACAATTCTCCGTCCACAGCCGGCGGCGCAACAACGGCCGGCGGCCGCCCTTGACTCGGATTACGATTCTTCAGACTCTGATGGCGGCGTCGATGTGCAGGGCGACGTGTCCATGCGCGCAGCCAAGCGGCAACGGACCATGGCCGACGACGACGCCGAGGCGGATGAGATTCTCACACCCGGCACGCTCATCACCTCCAACCCGCAATGGATGCGGTAAGTCCATTTCCGCCCCCTCCCCAAGCACGTCGCTAACTCCATGCCCAACAGCGGCCACGGCACCTACGTCCCGCAAGGGTCCACCAGCATCACGTCGTCCCTCGCCGGGACGCTGACCAAGACCAACAAGCTGCTGTCGGTGCGGCCGCTGCGCGCGCGCTACACGCCCGAGATTGGCGACCTCGTCGTCGGGCGCATCGTCGAGGTGCAGGCCAAGCGGTGGCGCGTGGACGTGGCGGCGGCGCAGCTCGCGATCCTCCAAATCTCAGCCATCAACCTGCCGGGCGGCATCCTGCGCAAGCGCACCGAGACGGACGAGCTGCAGATCCGGACCTTTTTCGCCGAGGGCGACCTCGTCGTGGCCGAGGTGCAGCAGCTGCACCAGGACGGCGCGGCCAGCCTGCACACGCGGTCGCTCAAGTACGGCAAGCTGCGCAACGGCGTCTTTGTGCGCGTGGGCGGCACCGGCGGCGGCGGCGGCGTCGTCCGCGCCAAGCGCCAGGTCTGGACCATGGAGCCCGCCGCCACGGCCGCCGCCGCGCACAAGATGGACGTGCTGCTCGGCGTCAACGGGTACATCTGGATCAGCCGCCACGTGGCGAGCGAGGCGCCCGCCGAGGCCGCCGGCGTCAACCGCATGGAGGAGGCCGTCAGCAGCAGGGTGTACGCCAGCCAAAACGACGACGTCGACGTCGCGACCATGCGCGAGATTGCGCGCGTGCGCAGCGTCGTGCTGGCCCTCGTCGAGGCCGGCCTGCGCGTCGACGAGGACACCGTCACGAGGGGCTATCACGAGGCCGTCGAGCTCGGCCGCGAGACGCCCGAGGATGAGCTGTACTTGGGCGGCGAGCGAGGGCGGCGGTTCGCGGCCGTCATGGCGGGTGTGTAGTGAGGTGCATTTAGATGAATACAAAGCAAGTTTACGGGACATGTCTAGGCTTTTCACAGGTCGATGCATTAGAGCGCATCAGGTCTGGCAAACAGTTGAAGAGACAGAGGAATGTGGTTCAAAAGGTAGCCTTGATGGTATAATTGCTTATTGGGTAGTTACAGGCAGGCCTCGTTTACAGATAGCCAGTCGTGTATATATCTTTGGCAGGAAAAGCGAAGAACAACAGGTCCTTTCGTGCAGCCACCAAGCGTGTATTCAGCCATTTTCTTGCGGATATTGCAGGTCAATGGTCATCTTGACCGTCCGCTACAAACACACCTACAAGGCGGCATGTTCAAACAATCGTACCATCCTCTGCTGCCCATCCCTCAAGCGGTAGCGAGGAAGCGAGACAGCGTAGCCGTCGTCCGAGCCTCGTCAGTCACTGTAACCTCGTACGCGGCAGTTGTCACCCCCGATCTCTGTCAAGGTGATCCAACTACTCTATCGATGCACATGCTGCGTTTCACGTCCCCCTTCTAGCCAATCCTCCCCGCGCCCCTCCTTCCAGCCCGCCAACGTACACCGGGGATGGCTGCACATCAATGCCGTTTCTGCAAGCACGCCTTTTTTTTCCTTCTCGCACTGCGAAAGTCTCACTATTTCAATATTAACTGCATTTATTGATTAACCCAGAGGCTAACACCAAAAAAACGGTCAGCAAGGCATGTGGACGGCTTGGCGCGAGTCACTTCCTGCGCAGCGACGACGATCATGGGAGCGCGCAAGAACAACACGCATCATACTCCAGAGCCCAGTCCATTTCTCTGGTGTTTTGGTCGTTGTGGGCGCATTTTCCATGCGTGCTCAATTGCCGCTTTGAGACATGCAGTTTTGGTGAGGGCCTTTGCCTTTTTGCCCTCCACCCCCACCACCATAATTCAGTTTATTCGGATTCTTTTTTGGCGCTTCGCATAATGACTCCTTGCTCTTTCTCGCCAACATGTTTCTTTCTTTCTTCTCGTGGCTTCGGCGTGTCCGTAGACACACAGTGGAGAAGGGTCTTGCTCTTCCCTCGTCGTCAAACGTCTGCAAAAGTACCCAATGGCACGGTGTGCACGAGACAATTTGAACACACAATGGCCAGAAACTGCGGCCCATGCTTCGCCATGACACACACAACAAAGGTCCAGTCTTGTCCGCCTTCCCAACTCACACACCCCCCGCCGCCCGCCTGCGCGCAGAAACGGAGCACCTTTTGGCGGCTGGGGGGGTGATTCTATACTTAAAGAAGAAAAAAAAGGCCGCAATGCTTCTTCTTCTTTCTCGGTGGTAAATATGGAACAAGAGAAAACTCGCGGTAAGCTGAAACCGCAAAAAAAAAAATACTGGTTGTCGCATTCGCATTATAGCCCTATATCGATGCCCTCCTCCCTCAGCACAGGGCTGAGCCGGGTGCTCGAGGCTCGGCTGGGCCATCCGGATGTGCGCTTCTAGTGCCCGTGATCTGCGGTCCTTCCATTGCAGCTGACTTGCAACAGGATTTGACCGTATATAATAATGCAGTCCCTGGTTTTATTCCCCTGGGGTGTGAAATATGGAATTTTTGTAGAAATCTTAAGGCTTCCGATGACTTCGAAGCTGAGCCAATCGCGGGTGGGCTCCTCTTGCATGCCGACAGGTCCGCCGTTTGAAACGTCCTTGTTCAATGGAAGACGATGATTAGTCGGCCTGATTAGTCGCGGCGTGGGCTCATTTGTCGAGCGAGAGAGGCACCATCTCGCAGTCGTCCCATGACTTGTTGCCAAGACGCCCGTCTTTCATGTTCTTTTTCGCGCGCCAGAGGGACCGCTTCGCTCCGCGGCTCCGCGGGCCTTCGACTCGTAGTTACTAGCACCGTTCCTGGTAAGCCGCCAACCTGCTTTTCTGCAGTGATGACTGAGCGCCCTTTGTCGCCAAAAAAATGTCTCCGAGCGGAGAGAGAGGGGCGTCGCGGACGAGGCTCCGTGTATCCGTACGTGGTCGGTCAGCTCCGGGTTCGCGGTGTTGCCTGTCACGAGGTTGCATGGCGCGGCCAAGCAAATAAAAGAGATGCGTGACATGCTATTCTTGGCATAAAGAGGATAGTTGGACAGGCGGCTGTTGGGGAAACACTGCCACTCGTAGACTACCCAAGTATACAACAAGAGTGCTCCCCCGCCCGCTCCGGGCGCTCGGTCAGAAGGCGACCAAAAATAGCAACAAGCGTCAGCCCATATCCACGACGAACAAAACTATCCCGTATTTCTTTTGTCCTATTCTGATCGGTGTTGCTGCCAGGAGGGTATAGTAGTAAAGTAAAAATATGTCCGAAGAAGAGACATACTTAAAAAAAAAAAAAAAAAAAAAAAAAAATAGAAATGAGAAAAAAAGGTTGAATTATGCTCATGGAAGACAGGGGACGCACGCACAGCCCATGTACATACACAGCCTCGTCGGACCACCCAGCGAGAATGTGAGTCAGCACACGACGATGCGGGCGTGGGAGACGGACAAAAATGGCCGATGCTTCTTCTTTTTTTCTTCTTTTTTTTAATAGCGCTGGCTTTGGTTTCAAATGCAAAAAAAAAAAAAACGCATAACTGTATTAGATAGGTTGCATTCCCACCAGACCCGAGATTCTAGAATCTCAAAAGTGTCCCGCCTCTACGGGTAACTGAGGCGATGACCCGGGGTTTAGCCTATCAATACCCGCCATGTAACCAGTCTTCGCTGGGCTCCTGTCAGTGCTGCCGTTTCTTTTTCAATTCCAAATGTCTAGCAAGATGCGTTTCTTACTCTCCATCGCACCAGTACCGATGTAGGTTGGGGTGTATTTTTTTTTAGTTAGTTTGTTATTAGTTAGGGCGCAATTCCGTCGGGGTTTCCCACATTCCCGGCCGTTGTCGGGATTTTCCACAGCCGGGCGCCCGCCCAACCAACCCGTCCGTCCCCAAAAAGGTTCTCTTTTTGTTTCACGGCATCTTCCACAGCCGGGCATCGAATAAGAATGGGAAACGAGCCAAGACCCGGGTAGCAACCCCCCGGTTCGGGGCTAGCGTTCTCGAGTACAGGAATAACCTACTTGACCACCTTGCTATACATCTTCTCGCGGTGGGAAAATCAGGCAATGCGCACACAACTAGCAAGATGCCTTGGTCGAGCAACCACGCTCCATGGTCGCAGGAAGCGACTTGCTTGTCCGCTTGTCCGCTTGTCCTGGAGGGCGGGGGGTGAGGCCGTGAGACAACCACTACGAGCAGAGTGTGATGCACGTACAATGCAAGTAGCAGAGTTGCCAAGTCTTTTTGCACTGACTGCTTAAATCTTGTGTAACCACTTGTCGAAAACAATGAGCCAAGCCATGTTTCGGAGCTCGCTCACTCGCGTGGTTAATCGTGCGTAATCACATGTCGCCGGCAACGAGAACAACCACCAAGTACGGACAGATGACGTGATCATGTAACGAGGAAAGAAGCGAATGTCAATTTTGGCTTTGGGCCAGGTGGTATCTCAAGTTTATCGCTAATAATAAAATAAAGAAAATGAAAAAAAAAAGGGCGTGGACGAATTGAAATGGGATCAAGAATTGGCGTGTACCAATCAAGAGAAGAAGAGAAGAAAATGGACAGAAAACAACATGACAAAATATGTTGGAGTACCAACATCAAGTTTCCAACGCACAGCGCTCAGAGTAAAGAATCAAAGCCTTTTCATTTCTCGTGTATGCATCCATGGGAGCGAATCCTCGCATATCTGTGCCAGGGGGAAGCCTGCTCGCTTGGCGGCGTCTCATTGGTCTCATTGGTCTCCGGCTTGCAGGAACCACGTCATAGTGCATGACCGCGACCATGCTGACATCCGTCCTGGAGCCCGCATCGCAACAAAGAGGGAAGAGGGGAAAAGGTTGGCCATGGTCATCGTGATCAATCGTGTCTCGGGTGGAATACGTTTCATCAAGAAATATTGGATTCCGTTTGTTTCGGTGCAAGACAGGGCCACCAGGGCCGTGGGGGGGATGCCGGATAAGATAGGCCATGCCGGCTAAGACAGGGGCAGGCTGCATGTCGATCAACAGCCTCGGTGGCAAATATGCCACAAGCAGATATAAGCGCAGAGACGGGGGAAGTTGTCAAGCCATGCCGGCGTGGGGCTTAATACTGAGCCAGACGTTGCGTAGAATGGCAGCAGCGTGCAGACCGGCGTGGCTGATGTACTGGTTCAACCAGGGACATGTGGGCGCGGTTTCTTAATCGTCTTGCGTAGGGAAGCCCGAGGCAACAAACTTGTCGTGTAGTAGAATGTCGTCAGTAGAATGTCGTGCAGTAGAATGCTTGGATATATGCATCACAAAGGGTGAGCCTTTGATCGGGTCGTATACGGTGTAAGCCCACGCAGGTCCGTCGAGGACCCGGGAAGGGGCGGGCAGATGTTGGTGGCGGGCTTTATTTGTAGCCGACCGTCTTGGCGCAACGCTCGCAGTAGTAGAGGTTGTGTGCGATGCGGACCATGCCGGCCGTGGCAATGTCGTCGGTCGACGTGGTCTCGACGGCGCGGGCACAGCGCATGCAGCGCAGGACCTGGACCGAGGCAACAGGGGCGGTAGAGTCCATGGCAAAGGTGGTGGTCGACGAGGCAGAGGATGACGAGTCTGAGTCGCAGCTAGAGGAGGACGAAGAGGCCGAGCTGTCTCCCGCGGGCATGATGAGAGAGAGGCGAGGAAGGGAAGTGTGGTTGGTGAACGCGGGCATATGGACTATTTTGTAGTCGTCGTCGGGTTGCCGAGTGTGAATGGAATAGCAAGCCCCGGGGGGGGGGTTGACAGGGTCGAAACTGATGAACCTTGTCTGACTGGGGGCTGTGAGAAGCACGGGTAATTTCTTTTTTTTTTTTTCGTCCCAAGAAAAAAAAAAGGTCGGTTTCAAAATGAGATCTTGATGGCCACCTTTGGTGCTGTGTGCAACGTCGGAGAGTTGCGGAGGAACAGCACAAGGTTGAAACAGTGAATGAGTGCTCGGATCAGCTATATTGGGCTGACTCGAGTAGACGCCTTGTTGTTTGTAAAATGAGGCGGTTGACGATGTGCGTGTGTTGTCGGCTTCTTTTTGGTCTGAAAAATAAAGGGAGCGGACGAGGACCAGGGCGTGTAAGAGATATATATTGCAGAAAAAAAAATTAATAGGCACCAAGGTCGAACCACTTTGGGCTGGAATAGAGCAAGGGTGTGTAGTAGTTTTTTTTTCTTGCAAGGGTATAATGAATCTGGCACGGACAGAAAAGTGGTGGGAGAGGGAAGCAAGAAATAGAAAGTGTAAGTGATGAAGGGTGAGAGAGGACGGCAATAAGATTGCAAGGGGGGGTGTGTTTGTTCTTTGGGAAAGAGCGAGGGGGTGCGCGAGGGGTAAAGAGGGGGGGGGGTGCAGCCTTTTTTTTCCTTGGGTTCATTTTTTGTTGCAGGACCAAGGCCAAAGGGGGTGGGTGCTGCCTCTACTCTACGGAGTACTGCCCCCCAACTTTGCCCACCAGGGGCTTTTTGCCCGCCGCAAATGCCCTGTCTACGTACCAGTATTTTCAAGACGGCCCCAGCAAGCTCAACCACCATTGTCCACTAACTGTAGGTGCCTTTTTTTTTTCTTTTCTTTTTTCAGCCCTTTTCAACAATTGTGTTGGCCAGATGCACGGACATGGTTCTCGACGAGCCTATTCCCGACGACTTTTGCTTTCTTTTCTTTTTTCTTTTTTCTTTTTGGCTCTCTTGTCCGACTTTTTACTCTCGCAGTCTCCGTGATCCATCATGTCATGGACGGTTCTGGTCCACCTGGAACTTCGGCTCAGTCCGTGGTGTGCGAGTTGACGCGGCATTGCCTTGGGTAGTGTGCTTTTTCTTGGTCCTGCCAAGCCCCCCAAGCCCTTGTGCCATGTTCCATTATTCTCAGAGATTATTCGCATAGGTAGGTTCTGGTAGCTGGCATTGCGATATAGGCGCACATTGGTACCTAATGCTCGCCGGGGTAGGGCTCTGCCACTCGGCCGGAGGGCACCGCACCGCCCTCTTCAGTGGACCACCGCGCCCCAATGGTGCCCAGCAGCTTATTTTGGGTACTCTTGCTCTGTTCTTAAGGTTTCCAGGCACTTTTATGCATTTATCCGGATGAACCTCGCTCTCTATTTCCTCGTCTAGTTACTCTTGGCTTCTGGGCTGTTCTGGTGGAACTTCTTTTGCCCGACTGAGCTCACTGCAAAATAACCGCTCCGTCACCATGGCCGCATGACAAACGCCCACAAACTGCGGAGTATGCACTCCGTATTGCTTCATCAGTAATCTTGTAATTGATGCGACACTCGATATGCTTCATCTACTCCGCCCGTCTTCATCAGGACATGTCGAATTTGCGCTTCAATTATTCCTGAATTATATCCGTTGTAATCCCCTCTTCCACTACTGGCAACCACGCAACATCTCTCGCTTTCCACGTGGCACCTGGTACAAGTATTTCCAACTCGCGTCCTCGCCAACTCTCATCGTGCGCAAACAAGTAGATCTTCCATCCCCAATTAGCGTGAACAGCGCGAATTACTAAACACTGGCTGCCCATCGCCGCCCAATACGTGCCATCTGCCCGCCGTGCCGCCCACTCGGTCTCGGTACCCGTAGCGTACATGCCACTCTCCCGTCCACCGAAATCGCGATGACTGTTGCCATTCTGTGTCTTGCATCTCGATGTAAAGAAATATATCGATTTGTTCGTAGAACAAAAAACCGGGTTTACCCTTTGATCTCGACAAACCTGTATCGAATTCCACCCCAACGGCAACAGCCCTTATGTATGTACAGATAAGACGACATGATGATTCACACTCTACACTTGCGCGATTCAGCTCCCTTTTGTCTTGGCCCTGCGAATCACCAGTAGCTACTACATCGACCAAGTTGCGACGTTTCTGTTCTTTGCTCTTGCCGTCTTTCCATGGCTCCCGCAAACTCAACTCTCATCCTGTTCCATGGCTCCCGCAAACTCTCAACTCTTACCCTCTTCCATGGCTCCCGCAAACTGGAGCACCGCGCGCAAACGGAAAGCTACTGCGTTTTTATTAAGGTTTCCGCCAAGCCATCCGTGTACCCAGCTCACCATGGGTTCAGGACGGGTGCAAATCGAACGGTTTACGCAGTTCTGACAAGAAACGGACAATTATCAGCACGGCTTGCCTTGTTGGGTAGTCCCAGGAAGCCAATCCATCCAACCCGTGCTCGCCGCAAGTCTTTTGGTCGCTTGTCACTTTTTGCTATGTTGTTCGCCTTGGCTGATGCTCTCGTCTGAAAGTCGAAACTACCAGTGACCTACAATGGTGTAATGACTCGGTATTGACGATGAAGAAAATAATGAAAGAAAAAAAATACAAACGGGAACTAAGCTCCTGACGAGACGTTACCGCAGTGTCTTGCCTTTGGACCGAGACACGACTGCAACGCACCAGCAGGCTGGGCCAAGACACCTGCGCATGCCTGCCGGCAACAGCCCTCCAAAAGTCCAAGCACATGCTTTCTGAATCAATCGGCTGCTCGTCATGGCCCTTTAAGAATGATTATTGGGCGCACTTGAAACGACGTCTCATCATCGACTTCGCCAAGGCTCTTTTCTTGTTACACAGTCCGGGCTTTAACGTGGAAACAGGCCACGCAATTCGTTTCCATCAATCAGTCCGGACGGCGGCAGGAGGCCCATGCCACGACATATGCACATCGAGCAAGTGTATGCGCATCAGCACACGCCCCCTTGTAATAACGCACCCCTACCAGTACAGGAAGAAAGGGCGAAAATGCAACCAAGCATGGGCAATTGCCGCATCGAGATGGGCTCGACAGGCTCGACTTGCATGGGGGAGGGAGCCCGGGGCGACAGGCACAACCAGGCTCTCGACGCCGCGCTGAAAAAAGTGACCCTGTCAATAATCCGGAGTAATTTGTACATACGAATTACACCTCGCAATTCGGCCTCTTGCGGTGGCTGTTTTCTACTGCCCCCACGATCAAGACACGTATTACCAAGCCCCCCCATGCGGATAGCCAGGGAGAAAAATTGGAATGAAAATTGAATGAAAAAAATGGCTGTATCGGAGATTGCCTGCGTATGGTGATCCGGAGTTGCCTAACGTTAATGGGGCATCCAGGCCTCGACTGGAAAGGACCGCTAGGTACCTTGTACTCTGTAGTTAGACCGCAGTACCTCGTGGCACTATTCGCGCTGATTCCAGTTCACTCTGTTATTAGTTGCTCAACCCCGCGCCGTCTCTCCCTCTCCGTTTTTGATGTATTTATTTAGTTAGTTATTTTAGGCAAATAAATAAAGATGTACGATCGCAGCCACTCACCGTAAGGTTTTCAGGTAGGGCTCGGCCAAAACGGTGAGCTCCTTCGATGGCACAGACTAGCGTGAGGTTCTGTCTGCCTGCACGTTTTGCGGTACTATTAAAAATTACCCATGCATGATGCAATATCCCGCAATAAGCAAACAGTTGTAGCTGCCTAGATGGAAATCATGAAATTGAAGAGAATTAAACATTGACCGACTCATTGTGGCCACACCTCGTCTAGTCAAGTGAGCTGTTGCTTCGGTGGCGTCTTCACTCCAACAAGTTCTATTAGGTCTTGTTCTCGCCCGCGCCCGGCTGCCGGGGCTAGCATTGACTAATACTAGTAAACTAGGCCAGAGCCTCGGCCTCGAATCTCGAATCTTGAATGCCGTGTTTTATTAACTAGTGAGTAACACAGCTCCCCCCAGTCGGCCGGGAATAACCTACCTCAGAGAAGAACCGCCGGAGCCGACGCCGGCCTGGTGGCTGGCTGCCAGAGCTTGGCTTGGCTTGCATGCATGTCAGCAAACCTAGTTATGAGTCTTGCTTGGCCGTTTTGTTTGGCAAATCCTAAAATCAGGCCTTGGACTATGTTGTTTTCCTGCGGTACGAAAACACGCCCCCTGTGAGAAATTGCGAGGCCTCTGTGACTCACTTTTCTTGCTCAATAGTTAGCCCAGTCTGCTTGTATTATTATACGGTCAAGGAAAACCACGCGTCGACCCTTGGAAATGTAATTTGTAGTGCGCGCGGCTTTTTTTTTGTTTTTCCCGCACCTAGTCATAACCAATAGCTGCCCAACTATGCCTCAAAAATAGGTTGACAGGAAAACAAGGTCACCGCTTTTGGCGCTGCTTGCATGAAAAAAATCTGTTGAAGTGGGCGAAAAAATTTCCCCTGGGTAATCAAATAATGTCTCTGGATTTTGCGCTTCTAGAATGTGTAGTGGCTACAAGTGCCACTGTTGATGCCCAACAACCCAACAGCACGGCTCCTTGTACAACCCGAAAACTCTGAACCCTGATGTTATACGGGAAGCATGGCTGTCGGCAGGGCATGCAGTAAAGCCATTCAATACAGCATTTTCTTGTTTCAGAGGAGGTGCATGTGTTGTGCAGCGTCGTGCGCCGGGCCCCAGCAGCAAGCTCCTCGCAGGCGACGCCCAGCGCATGCGGGTTGGTGGTGTGCCTGACTTCCCCGGGACGCTCGGATTGGCCGCGTTGCTTGTGAGAAATGGAGAAATGCACGCCATGCTATGCTTTGGGCCGTTGGGCTGCGCGCTGAGAAACAAACCCGAGAAAGCCAGAGGTCAAATGCTTGGAGCGGCTGCCCCGGTAGATGCATTGGCTGCCCCGTTCTAGGAAACGGACAGCGCGGATCCAAAACGGACTCGCCTAGAAATGTTATTTTGGCTCTTGTTCCTCCAAAGACTTGCTCGAACAGCAACAAACGGAGGGGTGGGCCCCCAAATGGGCCTAGCCGCATCGGCGACTTCCTCCAAAGCTCCCACCTTTTTCTCCTGTCACACCATGCCGCGTACATGCTCCACCCACCTTGCCGTTTTGACTATGGCTGGCCCAGTTTGGAACGGAAGGCCCGTAAGCGTTCCGTTTTGGAGGAAGAAGAGCAACCAAATGAAGGGATCAGTGGTGAGACGAAACGAGTCAACCTTGACCCTGTGTACATCATGTAAATCATGTACATCATGCCGTCGAAACCAAACAAGGAGATGCTGGCTTACGCGCCTGTGGGGGTTGTTGATGCTCTCAAACTCACAAAAGTGCTGATCTACACGCTTACGTACTCCGCACAGCATCCGTGCAACAGATTCGACGAGTCTCGTTGCTTCATGCCAACATCATGTCAACTACCTATGTACCTACCTTTGCTCGTTCCCTTGACACAAGCTCCACGTGGTTCAACATCCCACCTTGACCTTTGAAAGTTCAACGGCCGCAAGGACAACCAACGTACCATCAGACGACGAGCGATGCTACACAAACACAGACGAACCTCTCCACCATTCAGCTAGGTCCGTGGCTCCAATTCAACCCTTCCACAGAGTGCACTAGCCAACTCGATCAACCACATCAGCACATCTTCAGCTTGCTTTGCTTTGCCCCGACTCTTTCCCTTTGCGGGTTGAGATGAGCACCAGAGGGGCGGGTTACCAAGCATGTGCCCTTGACGACCCCTTCAATTTAGGCTCGCATTATCGCCAAGCAACATGGCCTGACCCCCGCCATGAACCCTTTTTTTTTTGGTGCCCCTCCTCCCCCTTTGTATCTTGCAGTGTGTATTCGGTATTGATAAACAGAAGCACGTTGGTTTTCGATCTACACAACGAGGACCAATAATCAACCCGAGTATTCGCGTCACTGTATCAGAAACGTCGGTGGCGCCCGCCAGCGGCGGGGTGATTTTCTGCAGCACCCACCGCCTTCGTTTCAACTTGTCGCCTAGTTGCATGTGGCAAAGGAACAAACAATGGGAAAGCTGCCAGTTTCCCATGACAGGCCTCCCAGCGCGCGCCGACTCGTCCTTTTTGCATCCACAACCGTCCAGAAGGGGGTTCGTCCTTTGCGGGATATGCATCTATGCGGGACTCGCCTACCACGATCGACGCGAACCCCCCCTTTCCACTCTCTTGGGCTTGGTCATAGTCATAACTCCATGCGATATAGCCTCTCCCTTTTTTGCTCATCCTGCAATTACCCCGTTTGGGTACAATTTGTGGGTTGGGCGTGTCTCTCGCCTGTGGCAAAAAAAAAAAGCCTGGGGGCTGGCTACATGAATCTAGAGCTTGACTTGATGCTGCTCCGCTCCCGAAGCAGCGCCAAACTCGCAAAGAAACGAAGGAGGATGGGCAATGCTTTGCTTTGCCCGCAGCTTTGTTCGATACGAAGCCATCCCACGTATTGACTAGCCAAAGGCCTGCGCAAGTGATGCGCGTGGCGCGTTTCACCTACATTCCTTTCGTGCATGAACCTAACTAACTACCAAAGAAAACGGCTTTTTGGTAAAAAAAAGCTTTTTTTAGTTGCGGGCGCCGCACTTCCCATTCTCGGTGCCTGATGGTCCAGAGCAGGAACTAAACTAACTACTAAGAGAATAGGAAATGGTACAACCCTCGGAGCGATCGCGGAGATGGATCCAGTGTTCTAGACCTGATGGCGCTGGGCGCGAAAGAGATGAGAATACCTATAATACGGATACATTGCCACGCAATTGGGTGCCCGCTTCAATGGACATTGCCGCTGGTAACTTTCGTCTGGTTTGTCAAGATGCATCCATGTGCCCCCGTTTCATTCTAGAACCAATAAGGACGTGAAAAGACGAAGGAACTTGACAACGATATGGAATTTTGGGAGACCAATCTCCGAATAGTTATCGGTGCGCTACTCGCTGCCGGTCTAGAGCTGTCTGTGGCAAAGAACGCGGCGTCCCCCCCCCCCCCCCCCTCCTTTCCCCCCAATCCGGGAATGTGCCGTCTCTCTAGGTACGTATCTCGCGAGCCATTCTTCCAACACCCGAAAAAGGTCCGATGGTCGAGGCCCCTACTGGCTGTTTTGGCGGCGCCCACGATAGTGGCGGCGCGGGCTAGACGGGTCGAACATGTTTCTGACAGCTCAAAGGAGGGGGGGTGCCCAAGGGCGGTCCAGAGCTTCGGCACCGACTGGCCAGGCCGTGAGAGGAAAGCGCGTTGCTTGTTTAAGTAAACTGGCCTGTTGCGGACACGGCTTCTTCTTCAGCTCCTTCAGCCCTGGCGTCGTCGACTTGAAATTCGCCGAAACCGCGTGTTGCTGGGGCTGAATCGGACGAGAACCCGACGTATACGGTGCTGGCCTGGTGCCGACGACGCCGACGAGGCGGTCTTGGCGGCGCGTGACGCTGTGACATGCTGGACGCAAAATACTACTGCTGCGCCTTGTGCTTCACGATGTCGGCAAACAACAACTACAGAACGGTGCAGATGGCCCAGCAACTGCGCCCCCCCATCTCGGCGCCGGCCTCACTAAATGGCCGTGTTGTCCGTGGCCGCCGCGAAGGAAATCTGCCCGCCCCCCGCTGCGAAGACCGCGCAAGAATCCGATTCATCCGGGTCGAGACCCCCTTCTCGACGGCCGATGGCTTGGCTGTTTTTGGCACAAGGTTACCACCAGGGTCCAAGTTCTAGATTTGCTGCCACGTTTGACCTTTGTGTCGAGTTTGTTGCTGTGTGTGTGTGTGTACGCACTAGACCTTTGTTGTCTACGCAACAGCCCACCAGTTCTCGGCATTCTCCTCGTGCCGGAGCAAGCTCATGGCGTGGTTGTAATACAATAGGCGATGGGCGGGGTTCTGCATTCTGGGGTTGCGGAGCGGCCGGTGCTCTCCTGCCGTCCCCTCCGGAAGCAGCGTCGCGGCACCGAGAAACAGACAACACCCAACTCTAATTAATCACGCAGACACCAGGCGGCGTACGGCGGCCGGAGACAAGTAGAGCAAAACGTGGAAAGGAACACCTTGGAGTACGTCATCCATATCCTTGATAGGGCAGACTGCGTGGCGCGCGGCGCAATCTCTGGCCGCCCGTCCAACAACGGCTGATCCGTACAGCACATGGTGTTGATAGCATGGCCTGATGATCTGTTGTGCGATATCGAAACACCATCGGTGCTCTCCCAACATCGTAGACTCGATGGCTTCTTCCAAACTACTGGCCAGAGAGTTAATCTTTATACTTTTGGGTTACTTTCCGCAGGGACAGATAGTATGGTTCGAAACAGCCTAGCTTACTGGAAGCGTCCAGATGGAAGCTTCAGGCCGGTTAAACTAGTCAGGGACTCCATGGCATCTGGTTCCTACTAGACCTTTTAGATTGCGACGAGAGAGTTGACGAGGCCTGCCAAAAAAGCCCATTCGCGCGCGGCCTGTCGAATGATAACGGATGTAGGCCTACAATATCCAGTGAGAGAGCTTACCCTGCATCTCGACTGGGGCGACTGGGGTACCCGTGGCGCTTGGACGAGCTTGCTTCGCCAGCATACACGAGGTAGGCAAATTCGTGAACTTGCAGAAGGAGAGAAGTGATGACAGTCTGCCATTTTTTGTAGTCCTGGCCAGCGTAGGCGGCGGATGATAATGCGTGTAGGTGTCGCAGCTCAGACCGGGGACCACCTCGGGTAAGTGGCTAGCCGCCCGCCAAACTCGCTACGCAAAACCTCACACCAAGCCGTTTGTTGGTCAGCGACACAAGGCAAGCCAAAGCAACGGCCCAGCGCATTCATCAACGCCACAGCGTGCAGGCCTCTGCGCATCTCCGGAGACTGTAAACTCGTCTCCTTTTGCGCCCGTCATTGATACCGTCCTCTGCTGGCGATGGGCATGCCCCTGCGGCGAGGCGCAGCCCAACGCTCAACATTCGGAAGTGCGACGAGAGCGGCAGCGCGCGCTGTGTGAGATTTGGAACGGGCTCGCTATCTCTCGGCACCCAACTTCCCGTTTCAACGCGGATAGATAGACGAGCTTGCGCGCATTCGCCATGGGAAGCGCGTCATCGCCCAAGACGGGCCTCAAACAGGCCGCCTGTCTCGTGTGCCGCCGGGGCAAGATCAAGTGCGAGTATCTGCCCGACCAGGGCCGCTGCCGCCGCTGCCTCCAGCTCGACAGCGAATGCGTAAGGCCCGACTACCACGCCGGCCGTCAGCGTGGCATCAAAAAGTGAGCTACGCCCGCCGCCGGGTTCTGCGTTGACCAAAGCGTGCAACCGCAAATACATACCGCGCTCATTCCCATCACGCTAACCGGTCACATAGTAAGAGAGTGGGCATAGACAAGGCCATCTACCAGGTGCACCAGGCGGCACGCCGCGCCGGCAAGGGCGGCCACGGCAGCAAGGCCGACGCGGCGGTGCTCGCCCGGCTGCGCGACATTCTGCACGAGGCAGAGGCGGACGGCAGGTCCGAGATCTCGCCCAGCAACGAGTCGCAGCGTACGGCTGCCGGTGACGAGGATGACTCGATGAGTGACGGTGAGGACGAGGACGACGAGGAGGCGCATGCCGATGAGGACGACGAGGACGACGATGCTGTGTCGGGCACGGCCGCCGGCGCGAGCAGTCGCCACGGAGCTAGCATGAGCGCCAGCGCCAGCGCGCAAGAGCCGGAGCCGGACCCGGCCGCGGGCTACCGCCGCCCGCCGGGGGAGAGCCTCGCGGTGGACGGTGCGGAGAATCCGCTGCAGCTGCTGGCGAGGGCCTCGTACTTTACGCCGTCGGCCGAGGAGCGTGGCAAGAGAGTGCCGCCCAAGACGAGGCAAGACGCAGCTGCCGCCAGCGATAACAGCGCCTCCGAGCACGCCAAGCTCAACGACTTCTTTTCCATTACGCGCTCCGATCTGGACGTCGGGGATGATATTGACCCCATCTCCCTCGGCCTCGTCGAAGAAGACGAGGCCGAGATGCTCTTCACATTGTGCGTCCCCCCCTCCCCCTGTTCCTGCGCCGCTACTCGCCTCACCCACGTCCTAACACCCAGGCCATGACAGCTTCCACGAGAAACTCGCCCACACGCGCTGGGGTCTGGACCCGGACCTCTACACCGTCTCCTTTACCCGGACGCGCTCGGCCTTCCTGACGACGACGCTCATGGCGTGCGCGGCGCTCTTCGTGCCCACGGCCGGCAGCCTGTCGAAGCGGCTGTCCAACCACGTCAAGACGCTCGCGCAGCGCGTCATCACCCGCCGCCACCGCTCCGTCGAGATTGTGCTCGCGTTTGTCGTCAACATCCCCTGGATCTTCCCCGGCCAGCGCAGCACCGACGACGAGACGTGCTGGTACATCTCCATGGCGGCCACGATTGCCATTGACCTGCTGATGCACAAGACGCTCGTGGCCCGCGGCGTGCTCGACTCGGGCGCCGGCCTGACCATGGCCCGCGGCGAGTGCCTCGACACGGGCACCGCGCTCGAGATTGACGGCTACGAGGGCGTGGAACCCTGGTCCGAACGGGGCATGATTTTGCTGCGCTCGCGCGAGCGCTGCTGGATCTCGCTCTATGTGGTGGAGCGAGGGTAAGTCTTTTTGGGTTTTGGATACGGTCGTGCTGGTGCTGTGGCTAATGCTGGTGCAGGATGGGACTGGCGAGGGGGCGGCCGTTTATGGTTCCCGTCACGCGGCTGATTAAAGATTGCGACGACTGGCACAAATCCACCATTGCCGCGTCTCAAGACGGACATGCAGTGTCCATGGCTGTGATGCGCAGAGACCTGGTGAGACTGAAACTGACTCTTCCTCTGTTCCGCGGTAGCTAACTGCGTCAAGGATGTGCTCTTCAACAACGTCCGTTCGCTTTGTGACGGCTCGCAGCACGCCAGCAGCGATGGTTCCTTAATAGCGCGATCGTATGTAACCAAGTACGAAGAAACGCGAGAGAGACATTTACCAACTTTATGTAGAATCCAAGACGCCATCGAACGCTTTTTCGCGCAGTGGCACTCGAAATGGGACTTGTCCATTGGCGTGGGCCCTGGTACGCAACTCCCCAACCTACCAAAACGGCACAATAGCAAAGATCCCTTTGAACTGACACTTCCAGATCGCCGACTGCCCCCGTACGTCGAGATCCTCGTCAGCCACACGCGGCTGTCCACCTACGGCGGCGTCATCAACCACCCGACAGCGCCGATCGAGGTCCGGCGCTTCTTCCGCACCGCCGGCCTGTCGTCGGCGCTCAACGTCATGCGCGCCGCCATCCAGGGCGAGTCGCTGCTGCAGTCCATGCCCAACAACACGACCATCATGATCTGCTTCGCCGCGTGCTTCGCCCTCACGCTCAGCGCGTACACGACGGACCGCTCCGCGCTCGCCCCGAGCATCCGCGAGCTCATTGTCGAGGCCGCCGGCGTGCTCGAGCGCCTCGGCACCATCACCCCGCACCGCCACGGCCTCTCCGTCCTCTACGGCAAGTACCTCCGCCAGATTGTCCGCAAGGCCGCCGGCTCCACGAAAAAGGGAGCAGCAGCGGCGGTAGTGGCGAGCGTGCCGCCGCCGCCGCCGCTGCCGCCGCCGCCTGTGTACGCACTGAATCCGGCCGCCGCGACGACGTCCGCCCCCCTGCCGTCACCTGTCGGCATGCCCGCGCCGGACCTCATGCACCCGCTGCCGCAGCACCAGCACCACGCGCACCAGATGGCCGCCGGGCAGCAGCCGATGCTGTGGCCCGAGACGCTGCAGTTTTCGGCCATGTCGGGCGACCAGATCACGCACGTGCTCAACCAGCCGGGCAACGCGTTTGAGCCGTCGTTTGGCGGGCTCTCGTGGCAGGACATGAATAATTTTGACTGGCTGCCGTTTCCGGAGTTTGGCATGTAAATGATGCAGAAAATGAAATCCGAGGCTCGTTGTTTCACGGCCCGTGCTTGATGGAAGGAATATAGAGCGCGACTCGGCGCGACTGAGAATCTACATGGGAGCCTTGTTTGTAGCCTGGATCAAGGGGTATATTGGTTGATGCTGGCTATTCAAAATCCATGTAGTTGTGATTATGGCATCTATTTCAGCAGAGGCTTCTGCATACCTACCTTGTCGTCAATCATGTCGAGGTTCTCTACCGTAGCCCCGTCAAGGACGTAGTTCTGCCGCTCATCACAGTCTCAGCAAAGTCAGCAAAGGGAAAGCAAAGCAAGGACAAGTCATGACCCAAATCGCCGCTCTCAAATTATACAATCAAGTAAATGGTTCTAAAAACACTGCCATGCTCATCATGCATCACACTCGTGCCGAAATTGACCCGTATTCCCCCCCCCCCCCCAAACAAATGCAAAAAAGGCCCAACACCACAACTCCGTTCAAAGATGAGTCAAAACACAAAACGACTTGGAGCCAAATGTATACACGTCAACCCTCCATCTTGGTATCCGGCTCCTTGCCCAGGTTCTTGAGCAGGTAGCTGCGCTTGAAGTACTCGTTGGGGTGCACAATCGTCTCGAGCTGATTCGACGTCATGATGCCCTCGTCCTTGGCCTTTTTGATCTCCTGCTTGTGCAGGTGCTCAAACACGCTAATACGCAACAACGTCAGCATCTTGTCTCATTCCTTCATTCACGCACACCTGCATAGTCTTACCGGTTGCACGCCATGTGGTACTTTTGCGTGTCCTTGTCCTCCTTGACGCCCTGGAGGACGGCGCGATCGGCGACACCCATGGCCTGGACGAGGGCCGTCAGGTTGTCGGCGTCAAAGTGGCGGTAGGGGCATCCGTGGGCGTCGCCGGCGCCGGGGGGGTGCTCGGTGAGGATCTTTTGGCAGCCAAAGGGGCTGTAGCCGCCGCCGCGGCGGTTCGAGTCGCCGCCGACGTCGCCGTACGCGTGGCGCACGTTGTACCGGTACTCCTTGTTGAACGTGTCGTCGGTGACCTTGTGGAAGCCGGCGCGCCAAAACGCGAGCGCCTCCTCGAGGGACAGCCCGATGCCCTTGAGGAAGAGCGTGTACTGCAGCCGCCCGTAGTGCTTGAGGTGCGCGTCGCGCCGCAGCGACCGGTGCAGGTGCGCCATGCACGCGGGGAAGTGCTGCGCCGCGAGGCCGTCGATGCGCGCCGCCGAAATGGTCGCCCCGTCGGGCGCGCCCGAGCCCGACATGTACGCGGCGTCGGGCGTGATGAAGTTCTTGGACAGGTGGTTGAGGATCGGCGTGAGGCGGTCGTCCTCGTCGAGCCGGGGGAGGGCGCGGGCCGTGAGCTGCCGGTGGGTTTTAGTTACAGCCGTCTTGTACGGAGAGAGTGTACGGTGGAGGGGGGTGGAAACATACCGTTAGCTGCTTCTCCAGGCGTGTGGAAAACTCGGCCACGACCATGCTCGCCTGCTCGCGCACCGGCACAAACGCCTTGCCGGCCTTGAGAAACACGCGGCGACTCTCGACCAGCTCGGGCACGCGCTCCCAATCAACGCGGAACCAGCCCTCGTCCTCGGCGGCCGCGCCTGTTTTCCTGCCGGCCGCGGTGCTCGTCATGGCGGCGAGCTCAGCCGCGTACAGGCGGCGCTCGTCGTCGGAGACGGGGTGCCACCAGTCGAGGGCGAGGTCGGCGACAAAGGCGGCGCGGTCGGCAAGGTCGTCGGTGGCGAAGCGGATGCGGAAGAGGGCCGTCTCGACGCGGGCGAAGCGGCGCCGCAGGTCGTCGGTGGAGGAAAAGGCCAGGCGCAGGATGAAGTGGCTGTAGTGGTCCTTTTGGCGCTGCGCGGCCAGCCGCGTCGACAACGACGAGTTGGAGTCGAGCGGCAGGTATTTTTCGAGGATCGGCTTCATGTGCAAGGCCGTCTCGGCGGGCGACTTGTTGCGGAACGAGCACGCCTCGAGCTCGGCGAGGACTTGCAGCCACACACACCTTGTTAGCTTTCTTTGGTCCTCGCTTCGCTCGCGCGCGCGGACAGTGGATGAAGAAGGGAAAACGACATACCGCGAAGTCGGTCAATGGCCCATTGCTCAAACTGCTCGAGAGTTATGTCCGCCGTCGGGGGGTCCGCGTAAAAGTTGAGGCGGTACTTGTACTCGGCCTCCTTGTACTGGGCGGCCGCGAACTGCCTGCGCCGGGGATCGATGACGGTGCGCCGCTTGGGGTCGACGCGGTGAATATCTTGTCGCAGCATGCTGGGAAACAAGGTGGAAGAGTTCGGGCGCCGTGATTCACAAAACAGGCCGCGGTCAACGGTTGAACGAGGGCGGGCGAGATGATTGCCGAGATGGGGATTGGCTAAAAGGTCTTGGTGGTGGGAGACGCGACGTGACGCGTAAAGGGCGACGCCACTTTGGTGTGGCGTTGTGAGATGTGGCGCTGAAAGCAGTTTGGGCGACAATCTGTGCATCCACAACCATAATGATTTATCTGCACTGATCATCACAAGATGGTCCTTGTTGTCTGACTACACTGCTTCAGCCCATTGATCGCCTACATCAAAGCAGGCCGTACAAGTCGCCTCTTTGCAATTCCAGCTTTGGACTTGCAGTTGCGCTGCCTCGGTGGTATGTTGCTGTCTCAGCATCAACGGATGCGATCGGAGCTCTGCTACCACAGTTGCCAAATTCGTACAAGGGACCAGCCGGGGGTCAGAAATCCCTACCACTGCTTCTAGCAGCTCAATTCCTCTTGTGCCGTCCTTTTTCTGGGGCATGGACGGATATGCCGCCCTTATGCACGTTTCCGGACAAGTGCCCGTTTCCAGGCAGCCGACGGATACAGCGCAGGAAATCGCCTTCGCCGACAGGCCAGCATCATCATCGATTTGGTTGCCATATTTTCTCCTGTTCGTGGGGGCAAGCTGACGCTATCGGTACGCGTGGTCCGGGACGAGAGCGAGATCAACTGTCATGGTGCATAAAGGCTCAACCGCATCCCGGCTTTTGCTTCCGGCAAAGTATGTATGACGTTGCACGCAAACGACGGCGGCGATTGCTGCGCCAACTAGCATTTCCTCCTTCTTTCTCCTGAGACAGTTCCTAAAATCCCGTTTCCATTTTTTTATATATTCGAAGTGATAGAGAAGACCTGCAACAAGGCATTTTGAAGTATCCATGGCAAAAGAGGAACGACATTGACAAACACAAGTTCATCTCCTGCCAAAGACTCGTTTCGTTTTTGTACATGGTCTCCCGCCTTCCCCACGCGACAACTATCGGCCGAACTTGACGTCATTGCCGGCCTTCTTTGTTCAATCAAAAGTTCGCAATATCCGATAGATGGCTTCCTCTGTGCCGGAGACTTTTCCATCCCAAGTCGACAACCGCAACTAGTCCATGGCCTAATCCGGCGAGCCGTGGCTTGGGGTTATCTATCTAAGGCTCGGGGCGCTGCCACTGGCCACACGTAGTGACAATCGATGAGAAGAAAAAAAGCGCCTCTGGTGGCTTCAATGACATGCCCAGACATTGATTGGCCCATATTGCGAGGGCTTCCCTACTTGCTGCACTTTGTCGAGTTGTCGGGGACAGCGAGTTTGGTTCGTCGACGCCAAGCCAACCAGGCCAGTTGCTTTTGCTCCGAGATGGCGCAGGTTGGGCAAAGGTCAGATGAACAAGCCGAAAAAGCGCCCATTGCTTCAGCAACTAGAGGACTATGGGGGAACAAGAACAACCAATTTCTTGGCCTCTATCTCTCGTCTCTCGAAGAACATAACCCGCACAGAAAGAAGACCACGGGCGGCTAGTGGCTTCCTCCATGAGGTCACATCATTCAAGGTGTAGGCTTTGTGAAGGAGAAGAAAAAAAGCTTATTGGTATATATGATGATGGAAATATTGGCACGTCATGGCCAGAACGGCAATGCCGCAGCGAATCATATGCAATCGACACAAGCTTCCCATCTTCCCGCCACGAGTTCCCTTTCCACGACCGATTGCACATCTTCGTTCCGCGTTCGTGCATGTCGGAAGCCGGTACGAGACATTCGCTCCGCCCTACCGGTTCGAGTGCACAGTCCATGCCGATCGAACGACTGCGCGCGGTGGGATCGTCCCCCAAGCCGACCATCCCTATCCATTTCCCATCATTCCCAGTACACAGTAGGCTCTTTGCTCGTGAAGCTTTGCTCCATCCGTCCGCAAAAGGATCGTTCGACAAACCTTATAATGGCCACCCTTAGGGTCTAGTCTGCCCACTTGGTCTTTGCACCAGTTCAGCTAGCTATGGTTTTACGGTGTTGCAATCGGGGCTAGAGAGTTGGTGTGAGAGGTTTTTTTTCCCTCTCCTTTTTAGTTATCTTGAGCTTCCCGCCCAAGATACCGTCCCCCGAGGATGTGAAATTTTTATTATTATTATTTTTCGGGGTTTTCTTTTTTGAGAGCATCATCTCTTGTCGTAGCCATCGGAAAGGCGCTGCATAATTTTTTTATTCTTTATAATTATAACCAGCCCTGGTCTGGCTTTTCAAAACCGTCATGGTCCGCAGGGTATACCGGACGTGGCTTCTGCCGCTGCTGGTGCTGGAGACGGCAGCACAGTCGACGACGGTGTGCTCGTCGTCGAATACGGCCTCTTCTGGAGCAAGTGCGTAACAAATGGACCAAATGCTTTTTTGGGGGGGGGAAACCTGGACTAACATGGGGTTTTTGAATGGACAGACACAAACATCTATCAGACAAAATCAGCCTGCGTCAACATCTGCAAGGGGCAGTCGGCATACGCCGTGGTGCAGTTTGAAGAGTGCTGGTGCAGCAACGTGGCGCCCAGCTCGACGGTGGACAATAGCGGCTGCGACACGCCCTGTCCGGGATATCCCTCGGAAATGTGCGGCGGCGACGGCCTGTACAACTACGTGTTGCTGGACAAGCGCAAAGTTGAGGCCGCGCCGGCGTCATCACCTCCATCCTCATCATCACAGCAAGCGCCAGCATCACAGCAAGCGCCAGCATCACAGCAAGCGCCGGCATCACAACAAGCGCCACCATCACAGCAGGCACCATCATCACAGCAGGCACCATCATCACAGCAAGCACCATCCTCACAGCAAGCACCCTCATCACAACAACAGCAACAACAGCAACAACAAAATCCACCCTCATCACAACCACCCAGCCCTCAGTCATCAAGCTCAGAGCAACCGCCAGCTCCACCTCAAATCATCACAATCACTCAGGTATGTCATGCTCCGTTCGGTGATAATGCCTCGTACAGCAGTCTAACGAGCCACAACAGACCAACGAACAAGGCTCCAAAACAATCATCAAAACTGTCCAGGCCGTCGCATCTTCTGTAGAGGATAAACCCGCCACCCTCCGCACCGTCACCGTGACGGGGTCCCTCGCGGTCATCACGGCCGCGGCCTCCAACAGCACCACGGCCGCGGGCGCCGTACCACCTCAGGGCAACAGCGGCGCGGGCGCGGGCGCGGGCGGCCTGAAGCAGGGCACCATTGCCGGCATCGCGGTCGGCGGGTCGGCGGCGGGCGTCTTCATGGGTCTGATTGCCTTTATGCTGTGGCGGCGCAACAAGTACCGGGGCGGCGGCAGCAGCAAGGACCGGGGCGAGGAGGTGGCGGGCGAGGTGAGCTTCTTTGGGGCGGCCGGATCGACGACGATGATTCGCAGAGACAACACGAGCGCGTCGGAAGACTCGCGGATGGGCGCGTTTGGGCAGAAACAGAATGTGTACCGCAATAGCATCGGGAGTCTGGAGGATGCGTCGGTGCACTCGAACCAGGTGCTGCGCGTGGTGAATCCGGATGTGGAAGACGAGCTGGAAATCAAATAAGTTGATCAGATTAATCAAATAATACGCATTCATCAAGATGAATTATTCAAGATCAAATCAATTAATACACATTGCCAAGATGAATTATTCAAGATCAAATCAATTAATACACATTGCCAAGATGAGTTTGTTGGCCGGTTATGCCCCCTGTAGTCACCATAAGCCCCAGGGTAAGGTATTGACATAGGGCTATTGTGTGGCGTGGTTCACACCAGTAGGGCCAGATTCATTTCAGCAGGGCCTCTCCGAATCAGCACGGAACACACCCCGGCCACTCTGCGCAAGCTGGTTTAAGCCGTTTGCTGCATTTTGTGGCTCTGCCTGTTGGAGCTGAGAATCGGACGATGGCCGTGTCTCCGTTCCCCGTCCCCGGTCGACACACCGGCACCGGGCGCCAAAAAGAGTCGCAGCAACGGCCACTCAACGTCTTGGCGGATCCAGTCCCTAAGAAAGAATGATAAAAAAAAAATCCGTCGGCGCGGACTGCTTGTAGTGACCGTTACCATTGCCCCTTTCCAGTGCCGCATCGTGGTGGCCTCGGGTATCGCCCAACAGGAGACGGCCACTGGTTGTAGCATGCACGCCCGCTACGGACCCCTGCAATACCGGTAACCCGGCAGTAATGATCTGCTGATGGGAAAAATCGAAAATCGAAAAAAACTTTGATGCAACCTACGTCTCCAAGCCCGCTGTTCTGCCTTGTGTGTGCGCTGGGGCTACATACGACAGCATCACATGCCAAATTATTTGTTAGTTGGCCCTGAATCTTGTTTGGCGTTTCGTCCGATTTTGTCATCTTCCGGCCCATACAAAGTCGTTGTTCCAGAGCGTAGTAATGCACTGAAGGATTACCGAGGCAATCGCCCTTGTTCAGTGTGAATTCGATTAAATTTTGCAATAATCGACGCTCACACGACCATGATGACTCTAGTCTTGTACTCTATAAAATTCTATTTGTGTCATTATGCTTCATGTGTAGGGTTGGTCTAAATAAGCAAATACAAAAATGGTCTCATGGTATCGTAGCATGGTATAAATGAAACCGCCTCTCAAAAAACTCCTTTTCGCCGTAAATCACAAGAAACCGCGCTGGTACATGTTTTGTTACAGAGCCATGGCCAGGATGCTCGCCAGCAGGCTGACCAACAGCACCGGCTTGGCGAGGGCTGCGGTGCCGGCGGCGCCGCCGGTACTCACGACGGCACCGCGGCTGCCCTGGAGGACTTTGCTCGGCGCGAGGCAAAACAGCTTGGCCTGGGTGGTGGCGTTGGCCTGGCCGGCGCCGAACCGTGCGGTGATGAGGATGGGCGCGGGCCGCTGGATGTGCTCGTTGTACACGGTGTACGAGGTCCGGCTGTCGTCGGTCCTGTTGAGCTCACCCGACGCAAACGTGACGTAGCTCTGGTAGCCGTCGGGGATGGCGTCGGAGTCGGGGATGGTGGCGTTTGTAGAGCACAGCGTGTTGTTGAAGACGAGCGGCGTCGTGGTGGCTATCCTGCCGTGTTAGCCAAGCTTCAATTTTTTATATATATTATGTTTTCAATGGCGGCTAGCGACGTACACCCAACAACCTTGGCACCGCCGCACGCGCCCGAGACGTCCGGCACGGGGCAGGAGCCGTCACTCGCGGCCGGCACGCTCTCGAGCGCCGCGATGCACGCCGCGCTCAGGACGCCAGCGCATGAGGCCTGCGCGTTGGCCGCCGCGTCCTGCTGCTCGAGGCGGTAGACGCAGAGGCCCGTGTGCGCGCCGGCCGCGCTGCCGGGCACGCTCTCCGGCACGCTGACGATGACGCCGAGCGTCTGCCGGTTCGGGCTGAGCCCGTAAAGGGCGTTTTGCGCGCGCTCGTCGCGGAAGGCGAGCGCCAGGTACCAGTCCGCCGACGACGACGACGACTGGTTGGAGAGGCGGAACGAGGTCTCGCCCGTCGAGTTGAAGACGCTCTCGTGCGTGGCAATGGAACGTGCCGCCGGGGGGCAGCCGTCGAGCGGATCGGTGAGGTCAATGGCCGAGGCGAGACGGGCCAGCGCGCCAGAGGCGAGCAGTATGCGGGCGAGAGACATGGTGCGAGCTGGTGGATTTGGATGGGGCGCAAAAGGAAGCAGCAGCAGTGTAAGTGATGTGATAGAATGACGAGACTCTGTATAATTGAATAATAAGAAAGAGGAAAATCTAACGAGGCCTGTGATATGACGAGGGCGGGTCGACTGGGCTATATATTCCGATTCTGTTATTACACGGCCCAGTGCTTCGGAGCAGTGGTCATGCCGCCGTCCCCGTCCCGGTTCATTGTGTGATTACGGCTTGGAGACCGGGGGCTGCACGAGGCCAGGCCCGCGCTCTCTAATGGTGTGTCCAGGCACCCAGCCCATGACGGGCCATCACATGCCAGAGAATGTCCTCTCTTTACCACTTAGCGCGATAACTAGGGCAGCCTTGTCTTTTGCCTCTTTCAGCCATCTCCTCTGGGAACGATGGTGGGTCATGAGTTTCATTCTGTCAGAAACGTATTCGTATCATGTGCTCATACACCGTGCAGCTGTCTGACTTTTTCCAACGGCGGCTATGGAACGGGCGCTTTGATTTCTCTCGAGTCAACAGAACAAAACAACTAGTGGTTCTCTCAGGCTACAGTCGTGTTGTCGTTGCTTTCTTTTTCCTCGTTGCTATCGCAAGTCTCGGTTATCAGGCAAGCCCATGCAAGCCACGATGAGCAACGAATAGCGCAATGGCCGCTGGCGGGGCCACCCGCTGAGCCGCAATCCGTTGATAACTGATAGTTAGTTAGCACCGTTGTGAAATTTGAGCAAAACTAGTTAGTGACGCAGTTGCTTGTTCCGCCTGTTTCCATCACCAGGTTTTGTAACCGAGCCGCCGTCTTCACCCGTGGGCATTCAACACCCGTCGTGGGAATGGATACTCTGGGCAAGGACAGCCAAAACCGGCTGCCTTATTATTTTGCCCTGTGCTAAAATAAAGAATTGTGGCGTATCCCTATCGGAAGCCGCACTCGTCATGCAACAAGTAAGTGGTGTGTGACAAGTTCACATGTAAGCGTGTGGCAGGTCCTTGTCCAGGAATGGAATCCTACTGGACAGTACAGATGAACTAGTTGAATTGTGTCATGAATGATCCGGCGGCGACCGAGTCGGATCTTCTCGCTCTTGATTCCTTTGCTGCAGTGACTCGCCTTTGCTGTACTGACTCTCCTTTGCACAGGTAGTGACTCGTCCAGGGGCATGTAGCCGACACGCCTCCATCGTGGATCATTTGGACAGGGATAAGGAATTTAGCGCACGGGTTCAATTAAATCCCATCAGCTCAACATTTTGCGCTGAATGTATGTCTGTACATAATTTCTTTTTCTAGTCACAAAACGTCCAACTTTGAGAGACTCGCCGCCCGTCAACTCGCATCACGGGCCCGGACAGGGACCAAGCACGCAGGTAGTTTCCATCGCAAATGGCATTGACACAGATTTTTCGAGTATGTAGATCAATCTGGTGTTGTGGCTTCATCACACTGACTAGCTCTGTGCACTCATCTGACACATTCTCAGCATGTGACAGAGCCAGTCGCGCCACCTCTGTCCTCATGCGATCTGCAGGAACACGTGTGGCTAACTAGAAATCGGCGCATACTAGCGCGGTTCGAAGCCTCAAAAGTGTTCCGCTCTTAGCCGGCCATTTTCGAATCGCTTTGGCGCCGGACCCTTTCCTTGCCACCGCTTTTGCGCGAACATTTGGTAGCGGCTTGTTTCTGCCATGTGCTAGTGACGTCGACATTGTAGGCCAAGGTGATTCAGGAGCAACTTGGCCAACATAAGGCGCATGCCATGCTGACTCGTGCTTTATCGGAGTGTGCTGGCGAATTTGGAGAAGCTCGTCAGCACGGACAAGCGGCTGGCGCTCTTTTGTAGCGGACTAGAACTACCGGACTTTCGACGCGGCAGCAACGACTGGGAACGCCTCCGTAGTTGGCGCGTCAAAGCCTGCAGCCGCTGCCGTAAGGAGACGCCGTGGCTCGCTGTGCTGGTGGACTGGCAAAGTGAAGCGCAGCGACGCTCCGCCACATAGATCCCGTCCCGGTGCGGCTGCCAGCTGTCCTGCTCATGGCATTCGTAATAATCTTCCTTGGAGCATTCTGCTGGGCGACGGTTGGTATTCCGACTGGGGATGCGTATCATGAGAGACATGTTGGCTTTGTTGTCGTGAGACGAGGTGAAGTCGAATTGTGTCCCTGTGTTGGAAACCAAACGTGATGAAAACGGGAAAAGTTGACAAATTTGCTCCGTGGCCCCTCGCGAAATGTGCCAGGAGAAACTGGTATATATATATACATCGAAAGCCCCGGATTGGGGAAGTGACACCCGAGGGCTTGATGGTTTCGGTCGAGGCCAACATGACCACTGGAATGCCACCATCTGAGACACCGCGCAGAGGGCTCAGCTCAGAAATCACAATACTAAAAATAGGATAAACTGCCCAAAATTCATCTTGGTTACGCGGTCTGATTGGCGAGTTTCTACAGAAGCGGTTGATTTCAGCTGCGGCAGCCCCGAAGGCGCATTCCACTGTGAAGCTCATCATCACGCGCGCGCTATTAGCCATGTACAAAGCCCCTCGTTTCAAGTCAATCCAGGGAGTTCCGGGGTTAAATAAGCGGAATAAGCAGAGAAAGAAACTGGAAAAGAATTGAGAGAATTGATGAATTGGTCCTTGTCCTCAAGTTTACAGGTGTAATTGGTTCGTATGAGCGCGGCCTCGACGCTACATAGGGCTGAGTCTGGGGAACTTGCACTCGTCAAACGAAATTTTGGGTGGCGGCGCTGAAGAAGGAGCTATTTAAGTATCTCAAGGTAAAAAATAGATGAACATGCGCAGTGAATAGTCCACTTACTTTCGTACATGCTCACGATGCGGAACTTATGTTACGACATGGGAAGGCGGATTCTCCTTGCCCACCACGCTTTTTTTTTAAAAAAAAAAGAACAAAAAGAAATAAGAAAGCCTTGAGCCGCAATTCCTATGGCAGATGCTAGCCTCCATGGTAGAGAAAGCTATCACTTTATCGCTAGGTTGAGGGTTCGTCTTGTGGAAGTGGCTCTTCCGGGTAGGCAGAGCGGTTCGGGGGTTGAGGTATCAGACTACAAACCAGATGAATGCTTAGTTGTTTCCAAACGTTTTGGACAATCATGTGGGGAATACGGCGCATTATGGTACGGCGATTTGGGACGGATCGCAATGCCGGCGAGACAGCGATGAAATATGCCCGGAGCCACCATCACCGGGTAGGTAATAGTATCTATACCAGCACGTGCTAAGATGTCATGGACATTGCTTGAAGTAATTTAAGGGAAGGGATTATTTATCAATATTTATTATCTAGATCTGAATGCATGCCATGGATATATGTATGTAATATGGACATGTGGACCAGCTTGCGGACTTTGGTATCGCTTTATTCGGGGCGACCACAGCGCACTGTACGACGGTACGAGCGTTATAACTGCCGCGATTCCTGGGCGCTGCTATAATCTGCAATTTGCATGTGATGGTCTGTATCAGAATGCAGATGGTGCTGGTCGTGAGAGCTTCAATGATGCGAGCAAAACTTTTGCTCAGATTGTTCACCCGTCATCAGCCCTACAAAACTTGGCAAAAATTGGGATAAACTTGGCATCGAGCATTCATGTCTCTCGTTCTCTATAGTTATGTAAACTAGGTGACTAGGAGCAGGAGGAAATGTGGCGGCCCGTTTAGCCCGCCCGATGCGGAGACTCAAATAAAGCAGCTCCGTTGGCCTCGGCTCAATCTGCCAGCGGCCACGGCTCGCCGGTACGAAGCTCCCCAGAAACACCACCACTTCGTCCGTACATAGATAGGACTAGCTCTCCCCGCAATCCAGCAGTTAGGCTTAGCCCTTCAACCGCTATCTCTTCATCTCCATCATTCTTGGAAGCTTTGGAAACAATTCTACTGCTTTCGCCATCTCGACAGCGACAATTACCCGACACTGTTCGCGTGTCCCATTACCATTACCATCACCACCACAACCACAACCACCCCTCCTACAAACGCAGCCTCGCCACCATGGGCGCCATCCCCGCCTACGCGCCGACATCCCTCGACGACATCACCGCGAGCATCAACACGGTCCGCACCACCTTTCGCACCAACAAGACCAAGGATGTCGACTTTCGCGTCCAGCAGATCCGCAAGCTCTACTGGGGCGTCGCCGACAACGCCGCCCTCATCGAGGAGGCCCTCATGAAGGACCTGAGCAAGTGCAAGTTTGAGGCCCAGCTCTCCGAGATTGACTGGGTCAAGAACGAGGCCGTCTACGTCGCCAACAACGTGCCCAAGTGGTCCAAGGACAAGTCCGTCGACGACATCCCCATCCAGTACTGGGCCCTCGGCCCCAAGATGCGCAGCGAGCCCTACGGCTCCATCCTCATCATCGGCGCCTTCAACTACCCCTTCCAGCTCAACCTCGCCCCCGTCATCGGCGCCATCGCCGCCGGCAACACCGTCATCCTCAAGCCCTCGGAGCTGTCCCCGCACTCGGCCATGGTCCTCAAGAAGATCTTTGACGAGTACCTCGACCCGGACTGCTACATCTGCGTCAACGGCAACGTCGACGAGACCAAGCACATCATGGAGCACAAGTTTGACAAGATTGTCTTTACCGGCGGCAAGGGCGTCGGCACCATCATCGCCAAAAAGGCCGCCGAGACCCTCACCCCCTACATTCTCGAGCTCGGCGGCCAGAACCCGTCCTTTGTCACCAAGAACGCCAACATCAAGCTGGCCGCCAAGCGCCTCATGTGGCAAAAGACGTTCAACGCCGGCCAGGTCTGCCTCTCGCACAACTACGTGCTGATTGAGCGCCCGGTCCTCGACGAGTTCATCACCGAGATCAACAAGCTGCTCGCCAAGTTTATGCCCAACGGCGCCGACAAGAGCCCCGACTGGTCGCGCATCGTCAACATCAACCACTTCAACCGCCTCAAGCGCATGCTGGACAATACCAAGGGCAAGATTGTCATGGGCGGCAACATGTGGGAGGACAAGCTCATCATGGAGCCGACGGCCGTGCTGGTCGACAGCATCGACGACAGCATGATGGTCGAGGAGAGCTTTGGCCCCATCTGGTCCATTCTCCCCTTTGACACGCTCGACGAGGCCATTGACATTGCCAACAAGGTCGACCCCACGCCCCTGTCCCTGACCACGTTTGGCTCCGACGCCGAAAACGAAAAAGGTAATGCCTCGACCTGTCACGCGTGCATTCCCCAAGCTCTTGCTAACTCGCATCAGTGCTCCTCAACGTCACATCGGGCGGCGCCACCATCAACGACGGCTTCTGGCACGCCGCCATGAACCAGACGCCCATCGGCGGCGTCGGCTCGTCCGGCCAAGGCAACTACCACGGCGCCTTCTCCTTCAAGGCCTTTAGCCACGAGCGCATCATCTGCAAGGTGCCCGGGTGGGCCGACCTGCTGCTCAAGATGCGCTACATGCCCTACGACATGCGCGAGCTGTCCCGCACGCAGGCCCTGACGGCGCTCGCTCCCAACTTTGACCGCAACGGCAACCCGAAGCGGGGCTTGTTCTACTGGCTCGGCCTCGTCTTCACCCTCGGCGGCCGCGGCAAGAAGAGCAGCATTCTCAGGTGGGCCCTCCTGCTGCCCGTCATCGCGTATCTTGTTCAACTGAGACAGGCCAAACTCTAGACCCGCTCCCAAGCTGTAGAAATCTCGGCCATGTATTCAAGAAGAGGGGGTATATTCGGACGGCTGTCCTTTGCGTTAAGGGGCCATCCGTCAGGATGTCCGGGGCAGGTGCACGGCTCCGCAAGAGATGATGTTTGTTGTTTGCGATACCAAAACTGCCAGCCAGACAGGTTGGCATTACTCATGCTCACAGTGTGCTATTGTACGAATGCAATTGGGAATTTTTGTAACCATGTATATCGAGTTATTTGCGTACCTAGTTGAAACGACTACTATTTGAGAACCATGTCCAGACACTACCATGTAGTCGCGTGCAATCAAGCCCAGCACAGTCCACGTCGACATGACAATACAAAAAAGTTTCATCAAGCTTTTTGTTTATTCCAATTGATCCCTTTGTCCGCGGCATTCCCAGGTCGCCGTCCTATCAGGGCAACCCCCGTCGCCATTCGGCCTCCAAAAGTGAGCCCCGCCCCGCGGCCGCTGCCGAGGATGATACCTCGCCAAGCCAGGCGGCTTCAAACCAACCCTTCTGCACCAAAAAATGTAAACGACGACGACAACTGACCGCCCCGAACCTAATCGAATACCACAAAAAATAAAACCCGCATTATCTACCAAAGGGGAATCCCCCAATCTACCACTCCCCCCCCTTCTCCCATGTCCCGATCGCGCAACACCAGCCCACGCCGCCAAACGTCCCCCTCCAGCAACATGGCCATGAAGCTCTCGCCCGCGCTCAAGGCGCTCATCCACGCGCCCGCCGCCCGTCCGGGGCCATGTCCCGCGCCGCCCGGCATCCGCGGCGTGTACTTGCGGATCGCGCACGACGCCAGGACTTACAACCTCGGGCCGCGGCCCTGGCTCGTCCTCTCCGTACCACCTCCCCCCGCCCCTCCTCTTCTCTTCTCCTGCTAACTCCAACAAGGCCGCTGCCACATTTACGCTCAACTCGCCCGACTCGCTCCCCGCGCTGCACGCCGTCGCCAGCACCAGCAGCTCGCCGGTCGCCGCCGCGGAGCTGATGCGCGAAGTCGGGCTCAAGTGCATCTCGTTCAACGGCATCCCGCGGACCATCAACTGTCTGAACGCGTTCCACGACTCTCTCGACCCGTCCGTCGCCGCGGCGCTGCGCACCACGCCGATCCGCACCGCCAGCCCGCTGCCCCGCGGCAAAGCGCTCTGGGACTCGGTGTACGCCCCGTTCGAGACGGCGCTGTACGACAAGCTCGCGCGCGCGCACCCGGACCTGCCGGTGCACATTTTGCAGAGCCACTACGCGGCGCTGCTGGCGGATCCGCCGGGGGGGTTGCTGGGCAGGGTGCTGACGAGCGTCGTCGCCGTGGCGTGTTTGCGCGCGCAGACGGGGGTTGCGCCGCAGGTGCTGTCGCACGTGTTTGGTTTGCGCAAGGCGCTTGCCGACGGCACGTATGAGCAGGACGGCTGGCAGGGCGCCGAGCTCGAGGGCGTGCGCTGGCTGGCGGGCGATGAGGGCTGCGCGTGGCTGCTCAGGTCCGTCGACGACATCGCGGCGGCGCTGGGCGGGAGTAATTTTGCGCGGCCGCCGGAGGCGAAGCTGTAGGAGCCTTGGTAGATTGACGACGTTGTTGGATTTGTTCGCGGAGAAAATGTACATGATATAGAGCCAGACCTGTAGAGATATAAACCAGGGTGCCAACTTGGAGGCAGTATCTATTTTTTTGTCTATGTAAAAATGAAAACGGTACATATTATTATTCCATCTCCTTCAAGCTCTTCGACACAGTAAACGTAGCGTCCGTCTTGCTCTTAATCTCATCCACCGTCACACCCGGCGCCAGCTCTGTTAGTGTAAGCCCGCCGGCCTTGCGGTCTACCTGGAATACGCACTGAGAGTAAAAGTCGCGGTTAGTCAAGATACACCTTTCCGCGCAGCGTCTCTAGAAAGAGTACAAGAGTACAAGAATGGCAGACGTACAAGTTCGGTAATAATGGTGCTGACGCAGCGCGCACCCGTCAGCGGCAGACTGCAGTCCTGCACAATCTTGGGCGACCCGTCCTTGGCCACGTGCTCGGTCGCGACGACAATCTTGGTATTGTCCGGGTTGGCGACGAGGTCCATGGCGCCGCCCATGCCCTTGAAGATCTTGCCGGGAATCATGTAGTTGGCGAGGTCGCCCGTGGCGCTGACCTGCAGAGCCTATGTAGTAATCCTGTTAGCAAAAAAGCAGCACGGCCTGTGTTCGGGAAATGGGGCCAACATACGCCGAGAATCGAAACGTCAACGTGGCCGCCTCGGATCATGCCAAACGACTCGGCAGAGTCAAAGCACGAGGCGCCAGGCACCATGGTGACGGTTTCCTTGCCAGCATTCACAATGTCACTGTTGTCGCGTTAGCCGTCAAGAGGGCAGTATATTTAGGTGACGGAGAAATACCCGTCGACTTCGTCTTTCGTGGGGTAGGCCCCCATCCCGAGCATGCCGTTTTCACTCTGCAGCCAGACGGTGCGTCCGTCGGGGATGTAGTTGGCCGCGAGCGTGGGAATACCCACGCCGAGGTTGACGTAGAAGCCCTCTTGCAGCTCCTGCGACGCGCGCTTGCCAATGCGCTCGCGTCGGATCTGGTGGTCGCTCTTCTTGCTGGCCCCGGCCGTGTCCTCCGTCTCGGGCTCGCGGATCGTGAGAATCTCAATCTTCTTCTCGGCCGTCGCGGGCACGACGCGGTCGACATAGATGCCCGGGAGGTCCACATCGTCGGGGTCGATCGCGCCAATCTCGACGATATTCTCGGCTTCGACAATGGTCACCTTGGCGGCCTTGGCCATGAGCACGCCGTAGGCTTTCGTGGTGTAGCTGTTTTGTGAACGTTAGACGAGCACGTGAATGGAGAGGGAGCTAGGAGTGGGAAGGGTACCGAAAGACGCAGTTGCCAGCCTTGTCGGCCTTGTAGGCGCGCAGAATGGCCACGTCGCCGGGAAGCGAAGTCTCCATGAGAAACGTCTTGCCGCCAAAGTCGCGCGTCTCGCGCTTGGTGCCACGCTCGAGCGTCTTGCCTCCGGGACCAAGCCGAACCGGTATCTCCCCGTCCTGGACAAGGGTGTCTGTGGGAAAAAAAATTAGAACTGCTATTTCGGGGCGGAAAAGGGAGGCAACGTACGGGCACCGGTGGGGGTGAAAAAGGCCGGGATGCCGGCGCCGGCGGCCCTGATGCGCTCTGCCAGCGAGCCTTGCGGGCACAGCTCGACCGCAATGTCACCGTTCAGATAACCCTTTTCTAATGTCTTGTTGTTTCCGAGATAGGACAGGGTCAGTTTCTTGACCTGGCCGCTGCCAATGAGCAGCGACAGGCCGCCCTTGCCTTCGATACCGGCATTGTTGGAGACGGCGGCGAGAGAGTGCAGCGAGTCTTTGCCTCTTCGATGGAGCGCTTCGACGAGTGTTTCTTTGGACGTGTTAGGAGTTTTGTGAATCCACAGCGTGATGAGGCAGGTGTCATACCAGCAACGCCGCAAAGGCCAAAGCCGGCGCTGAGAATGGTGGCGCCGCTCTTGACATCAGCTACGGCGTGGTCCGCGCTGTCCCACAGCTTCGAGTAGGGCGCGGGCTTCTTTTGGGAGAGCAGGGCCGTCGTCGCGACAAAGGTGCGGCGACCTTGTTTGGGAGGCTGCGTCCTGAGGCGTATCGTGTTGGTCACTGGGCGGGCAAGCGTCATGGGTCTGGGCAGTGCGATGCGCACCGCCATTGGTCTGAGAACCGACGCCATTGTGTGAGTTGTTGGTATGTGAAGAGGTAGACAGCCCGACAATCGAGAGTAAGGCAGAGGAAACTTTATAGGCACAGTGCTCGATTCAAATTTATGGAGAAGTGGCCAGTGTTTTGAATGTTTTCTACGTATCCGTAAATTGTAAAGCCGAGCCCGCTATCGCAGCTGCCCTGAGAAGAGCGGAGCTTGATCTAAGACCGGCGGAGAGGTGGCGATGACGTTGCGACGCCGGGAGGGTCGGGGCTCTAAACTAGTCCCCGGCGACTAATCCGGCAGGGTCGGAACGCGGCCCCGAAAGCGACTTTTTTAACGGCATAACGGAGTGAAGACGGACAATGGGAGCAGAGGATTGCACTAGAGACGTGCTGCGGGATCATGGCAGGCCGGGCAGAGGCCGCTCCGTCGCGGTCGGCGTTTACTGTGTGGACTCGGCGCGAAGGCCGGCCGTTGCGGGCGATTGTAGGGAGCGCCGACATGTGCACTGAATCGTGCAAAGATGGGACTGCGCCGGGGGGCAGAGCGAAATTGGCAAGCGGCGAATATGCGATGAGGTATATCTGGCTACAGTATGGCTGGCAAAGGGTAGTCGATTGGGTTCACGGGGCTCGGCCGTCTGCCGCACGATGGACTCTGCACAGTATCAGCGGTGTTGGCGCTTGGGAGTGGAAAATCTGCAAACTATTAATACCGGGACGAAGCGCTTGGGAGTGGAAAATCTGGGAACCATCGGGACGAAGCGCTTGAATGGAGCACATCTGCGGCGCGTTGCATTTGGTCTGCAGCAAGGTGGAACGGCGTGTTTGACAGCTCGTGTTTGACAGCTCGTGTTTGGTGGGAGGCATGGCCCTGTCTGACTGTGGCACATATTACAAGCCTCTAGCGAGATGAAAAAGGGCCACATCTTCGGCTATCTGATGGCTTGCCTCTGAGATGGGAAACTATATTTGATGGCGGTTTCATCAGCATCAGGAGCGAATCATGACCGAGACCAGAGGCGACAGGTTGGACAATGCTACCTACAGTGGGTGGCGAAGAGTACATACCAGACAGTGAAGAACGAAGGAGCACACAAGTGATTGTGTTGGTTGGCACGCAAACAGAGCTGGAGGCTGGACGCTGGCAGCGAGTGATGCTGGCCACGATGCTGCTGGGACATGTCGGGTTGGTCACTAAAATTAGCCAGAGGGCATCGGCAACCCTAAAACGGTTAGCACCGAGGGAGAGGGCCTCTGCTGGAAGGATGCCCTGTAGAGCTGGCTTTCGGGGGACACTAGCCGCTGGAAGTGAAACCCTGCAGGGGATGTCACGGGCCCTGGTACCGGGGTTCTTATGCGACGATCCGAGCCCGTGGACTGCAGTTTGCAAGTGAGAGCGGCATTGAAGCGAAATAAAAACAGATAAATATGTTCATAACTACATGTTCAAATACTCGCCGGGCGGCATCATGTCTGATGCACAGGACAGCAATTCCAGGAGAAATGAGTCGAGAACACGCCATGTCTTCTGCATTGGAACGTAACATCTGGCGTTCAGCGCTAGCAAATGGCGGGGGAGTCAGTCACCTATGGCCTGACTGTAGCATGTAAGTCGCTGAGACTTGGCTGCATTGCTGCAGATAGAGAAGGCGGACATGTCGTTTTTTATTCTTTTTATTCTTTCTTTTCGACCTTGTACCCAAGAAACAGTATGCTTGGTCTGATGGAGTCGTCTGCCCTGCTTCATACGTGTTAGAGTTTGTGCTCGTTATAGATAGGCACCTAGTTCGCTAACCACCGCTGTCGGAGCTTGCCTTGGGTGTCAGAATGCAGCTGTAGGTACCTTCCAAGTAGTTTTTGAGCGCCAGTGAGTGCCTTTTGGCCCTGGTAATTTCCCCAAGGTACACATGAATACCTGAGCTCTGCCCTACAGAGAGTGGAGTTGAATCTACTAAGCACCCAGGCTCCTTCCTTTTTAACAACCTGCCCTGCCTGCCGAGACTCACGCGGTCCCCCCAAGCAAACGGGCCAAACCAGTCAAACCCGCCAGCTTTGATTCTCTGAACATCTCTCGCCCACCGATATCTCCCGTCGCGACGCCCATCACCCTCGTCCGCACTCTGTCGCCGCTTGCCAATTCGAATTCTCGCCATTACCCTCGGCGCTGTCGACATCAATTATCCCTGCTTCTACCCACACATCAAATTTCAGTCGTCGCCCGCCGTCGTGCTCGTCGCCACGCCCGTTCGCAATCGCGACACCCTCTTCCGCACTCTACCATACCCGGCGCCTCCCAGCGCCTCCGGCATACCTCCCGCCCGGCTGGCCGTCCCATCGCCCTTCTTGCTTTTCACCACTCGCTCTTTCACTCGGCGTCTCTGGCCCAACACTCGCCTTTGCCGCTGTGCGCGCCGCCCTCAAGCTTTTCCGAGGCATACAAGGCGGCCGCCCTCGCCGAGCTATGACATTCCTCTCAACATCGTCAAAGCCTGCCCACGATGACACCGATGCCGACCACCCGCGCCATGGTCAGCTAGCCCTCAATGCTGCTCAGCAGCCCTCTATATCGGTAGAGCCTTCTCAATCCACGCCAATCCCCGTGCCTCGACACTCACACTTGGCGCCGCCCTCGCCCTACCAAATGGCCACCTCCCCGATTGATCGCGCCCACTCGCCGCTCCGCCTGCATAGAGATTCCGCCGAGGCGTCGGCCAATGCGCTCAGGATTTCCACCGACGTTATTTCAACATCGACTGCCGTCACATCCTTTCCCAGCTACCGCGATGCCATGGCCCCAAACACCCGCAACCTTTCGCCCCAGCGAAACCCTCTGAACAGGACCAACTCTGCCAATTCTGTGCAGCTTGCGCGCACCCCCAGTCTCAAAGCCGCCTTGACAGGTGCTTTTGCTTCCTCCAATGGCTCCAGCAGCAACATCTCCAGCCCCGTCATCAACGCCATGGGCGACGTAACCCCGTTACCCAGTCCGCTCATGTCATCCGACTCGCCAGGGCCTTGGAAGCGCCTGAGTCTTGCTTCGACCTCGCCTCCTCAGTACCGAAGCAAACTTGACCTTGTCGGACAAACGATGACGTCCAATCCAATCACCCTCAGCTCCCAGCCCAATTCTACCTCTCCTCGGCGCAAGGCCTATATCAATCAACTACAAGATTCGGCACCTGCGCCGCCGCAGCCTACACCTTCCGCAACACAGAAGCCACACCACACGAGGAACCGAAGCGTCAGCGAATACATGCCTGACCCCATCTCGATTCAGAAACGACCCGTTGTGGTGTCGGGTACTCATACTAGAAGAGACGGCACCGAGCATCCAGATGCTGGGCTGCGACGCGAGTCTCATCTCGCCGCATCGCGTGGACTGACTCCGACCCTCACCAAACCCCCTACCCCTCCTCCCAGTGCCTCGTCCAAAGACTCGTTGGACAGCCCGGTCAAGGCACAGGACCCGTCGTTTGAGTATTTCAAGGCACGGAGTCGCAGCGATCACAAGAACCGCCGCTGGAGATCTGTCGGCTTCCTGGGCCGCGGCACGTTTAGTCGAGTCATGCTCGCAACCAGCCAGATTATTCCTGATGGCGACGGCCCCGAGATGCTGGCAGGCACGCCAGCTGGATGCCGTCTAGATCGCAAGACGCTTGTTGCCGTCAAGGTGTGCGAGCATGGACCCAAGGGCGGTGCTAGCGAGGACCGTGTCGAGATGAGCCTCAAGCGCGAGCTGGAAATCATGCAAGCCATTCACCACCCATCGCTTCTCGATCTGAAAGCGTGGAGTATTGAGCCGACCCGTGCCATCTTGGTCATGAGCTTTTGTCCAGGTGGTGATCTCTTTGACGTGACAAGTGCCCATCGCAAGAGTCTGACATCGTCTCTGATGGGCCGCATTGTGGCGGAACTCGTCTCTGCCCTTCGATATTTGCATCAACAGAACATTGTTCATCGCGACATCAAACTGGAAAATGTTCTCGTCAACATTCCTCCGGCCGATCTGGCCAACACAAGCACCAATTGGGCGACGTATACACACTCGATCATTGCCCTCGCCGATTTTGGCCTGTCCCGTCGTATTACGCCCGGCGAGCAGCTCGAAACCCGCTGCGGATCGGACGATTACGCGCCACCCGAAGTCATCATGGGCCAGCCGTACGACGGACGCGCTACTGACGCCTGGTCCCTCGGCGTTCTCTTGTACGCGCTCCTCGAAGCGCGTCTTCCGTTTGACCCCCATCCTGGCATGAGCGACGCCCACCGCATGCGCAGCCGCACCAGCCATCGCATCGCCCGCGTCGAGTGGCGCTGGGTCGAGTACGCCGGCGACGACGGCGACCACGAGGGTAACGAGGCCCTCTTTGAGCGCGCCGGCCTGCGCGGCGCCATGCACGTCGTCGAGGGCTTGCTGCGACGCGCGCGCAACCGCTGGACGCTGGACCAGGTCGCGGCCGAGCCCTGGGTTTCCAACGCGGTGTCTGTCGACGGAGGCATTCGCTTTAGGGAAGAGGAGGCTGGCGAGGAGGTTTCATGACACGCTCAGTCTGTGCGATTCGACCATGAACCAACTTGGTGTGTATGAACACGGTGTAGGCTGCCTGGTCCTTGATCTTGTCCTTTTCCCTCACTTTTTCTACACTTGTTATATGTGTTGCTCTTACACATGTTACTCTTCTTACACATGTTCCTCTTGTTGCTCAAACTTACACCCATTACTCTTCTTACACTTGTTACCTTTTTACACTTGTTCTTCTTGTTGCTCATCCCTACACCCGTTCCATCTTCCTTTACGATTGTCAAGCCTTTGCTGGGACCAGACAGCGCTTCTTTTCTTCTTTACTTGTTTTACTGTAGACTTACGATTCCCACATGTACCATTCTGTTTTTATTGGAACCTCTTTACAACCTTTTTTTATTCTCTTCTTCTTTCTCTTCTTTTCGGTTCCAACATGTACTATTACGTTTTATTGACCAGCGCGTTTTCTACCCCTTACTTGCCGTCTTTTTCTTTTTTTTTCGTCTTTTTTTTTGCAATTGGATTCGGGCTTTTGATGTGCAGAGGACAGTGTAGGAACTAGAAGACAAAAAGCCCACGATAGATCAATACACGATTCCCGACTCGGCCGATGCGCTGTCTCTCGGGAAAATTGATGATGTTTTGCATCCCTGCAAGGATATGTTGTATTCTGCTCGATCGAGCCGGGACCCTGGTCGGGAACAAGCCGCCCATGGCAGCGATGCAGCTCAACTTTCCGTCTCGGTCCGCGCGTCAAGGAAAGAAAACACGCCCCGGCAAGGGGTCTTAACCAGAAAGGACGGCACGGAAACGAATTGCTGTGTTCCTCGCGGACGGGAGAGGGCCCACCGGCCCGGCGCGCGTAGGACGACTTTCCGGCCCGGACATGTCCCGTCCGAGACGTTTCCCCTTCCCAATGCAAGCCCGTGTTTCACAAAAAAAACAGCTTTCGAGGTTTCCTTCTTTTTTTCCGAAAATGAATACACGTGCCCTGTAGAACGAGGGCTAAGGGGGAAATTAATAACCCAGCCGCCACAGCAGATCCACGGTTCCAGCAGTCAGAAAGCTAGCCGTTTTGGACGGGCTTCCAGGATACACGTAAAAAAGAAGCGGTCCTGGGCTATAAAGACATCGCTGACTCGGACCTTGAGACGCGCCAACACCGTATTCGGTCTGGTGTTTGTTGTCGACGTATGTATTTCCATTACATACTACGAAACTGGCCTGTTTTGCAAACTTCGGAGATGCTATCGCCGACCACTTTACTTAGCACTAGTGGTAGATTACAAGGACTACCACGAGTGACAAGGTTCAATTTTTTCTTTCTCTGTCGCAGTAATAACATACAATTGATTTTGGGCGGGGTCGTTGAAGAAAAGGCGACGCGGAGCAACGCCGTCGCCCCAACTTGTTACCCCAGACAAACCTGACCTTTCGTTTCAGACCCCATGGGGAAATGTATTTCTTTTACGTCTCAAAATGGGTGGGAGATATGTATGTGCTTTTTCCCCCAACGCGGGGGACAAAGATTGATTGCCTCCACGGGGAGGCAGGGCGGGGAACAAAGGGGGGTGTGTAGACGGAGAATAGTCCCCGTGTTAGCCGACGTCAAGCGAAGGGGGGAGGTTTCCGCGTTGCTGGCGCGGCGCGGTTTTTCCCCGCCACATTTGTGATTTCTCTTGGTCGCATCTCATGTAGTTATAACTAGTTAAAATCGCAAGGGGCTTGACGCGGCAAAACAGAGCAACGAAAAGCCTGAAACTGTTGCTTGTGACGACGCGGTCCACCGCCTTCTGCGATGCGCTCCTGCAGCCTTGCAGCAAAAACTGCTTACCGATGAGAGGAAAAAGCTGGGTTCGGCAAGTCAAGAAAAAGCAAAGGACGGAACGAGGCAAGGTAGAAAAAGAAGGATGCGCCCGCCTTGTGCGGTCCGACATTCATGTGCACGACAGCAAGTTGCGCCCGCCACACCTTGTTCATCCCAACAGCAACCGGTTGTCGGTCCACGAGTATATGGGGTGAACAGTAACCGTTCGCCGGGTTAGGATTAGGTTAGGACAAGACCTGTGGTGGAGGAACAACAGACATGACCTGACGTGCCAACTTTGTACTTTCCTTTTGGCGGCGTGTTGGGCCCTTGTTTGCCTTCCCCTCTCCGCGATCGAAAGAGGAAGCTGCCTCAACCACTATCGCAGGGGGCAAAGCCTTATAATACCATGAATACCAAGTACGGAGTAAGTATTCAGGACATGTGTGCCATGACACAGCCATTGTGGTCAATGCCGCTGTTCCAAGCAAACCCATAGTCGCATTATAAAGAACATCTTGTATCCGTTACCATCAACTGGTGCAGATGAGCAGCATTCTCCGTACATACACGGCAAGCCTTGATAATGCGGAGATGCGACTCGCCGACCATCGTCCCTCGCCCGCCTCTTTGCCTGCCCCATCAAAATACGTCGGCTTCTAGACGTCGCTTTGGTAATTTCACTCCTTTTTTCGTTTCCAAAACTGTCTTGGACAAGGGGCTGCTCGAGTCAACCCGCCCCTGGCCAGTCCGAGTTCTAGCGACCCGAGTTGTGGCGTCAACCCTGGGCTTGCTTGGCGGGCCGGCTGTGGCTGTAACTTCGTACTGTACCTGTTGCCCATGTTCCTGTCAGCGAGTAACCTAACTAGTTACTCAGCTCAGTACCACTTATGCCACTGCTATACACTATAAAATGGCTGATAATATAGTTGAAGCGAGTGTTACGTTGACTTTCCCAGCGCATGGCCGTCAGCTGCTGCGTCTTCTTCGGTCCCTGCCGCCCTCTGGGCAGTGCTATTAGTGCGTGCGTCACCCGGTCGTCTTGTCGGAACGGGTAATTTGTAGTTCTTGCAAGATTTTCTTGTAAAATTTTCCTTGCCTCGACAACCGGCGCACCTGTCAACTTAATAATTACCAGTTGAAATGGGGCCCTTATCTTCAAGGTTAGTGGAGTTGCGCGTCAGAACCTGAGATAACGAGACTAAGCCGGGAAACGAAAAAGGAAAATAGGTAGCACTTGCTTCGCTCTCGGTGTCCGAGTTCATCACGTCTGTTTTGCCGTTTTGCCGTTTTGCCACTCATGATTCAGCGCCGTTGGTTCGCCATCGTCGTCACCGCGGCTTCGTAGACGCCCACCATGATTTCTTCGCAACCGCTCCGCATCGTACGGTTCTTCAAAGTCTCACACAAAAAACCTTATTGGAGGGGGCTGGTCCCTTGCAAAGTTGTACATTAACCCTTTCCCCGCATCCGCATTCGCTGCCACTTGTGCTACAGTGACAGGTGCAAAGCCGACGCTTTCGACCCCTTGGCCAATAAATACTGTCATCATGACCAAGTCTCACAGTGCCCAGGAGACAAGAGATTCTCCATCCGATCCATCCTTCATCCCAACGAGAAAAGTGCAGGAAAAAAATACCAAGTCGACGCCGTGGCTTTTCTGCCACATGGCCGGGTAATTCGACTGATTGGACCCTGCACAACGAGGTGTCCGCTGTTGAGACACACCATCTTAGACTTTTGGCCACAAGACACGCTTTCTTCTCTCTCTCTTCCTTTTGCTTCTCCGTGCTATTCATAGAACAAGACATGCAGGTCTCGCCCTGCCCGGTCCCAGCGTCTGTTGTGCCTGCCGCCAATGTCTGTCTCTGTTACCTTGCTTGCCACCCGTTGTCGGAACTGACGGGGGCGCGAATGATGCTGACACGACAACGACTTTGTTGCCCTCTGCCAAACCTGCTTATTGCACCAAGGAATGCGTTATCCCTTTCCTGTGGATAACGGACGGGCTTCCCTCTCACATATGGGGCGGCGCCACAACGCCGAAGCGGCCTTTGGCACCAAGTCCAGCAACACACACCACCATCATTTCATGCCCTGATGGCGTTCTTTTTCGTCTACTCGTCAGCCTGAGTCGTGTGTATCCTTCCCGCCCCACCCCCTTCCCCTTGGACCAATTGCACAATTTTCTCCGTGGCGGTGGCCGAAAGCCCAGAAGGACGCTCCCGAAAAGCCTTCAGAGGGGTAATGTCTGTACCTCTGTAGAAGAAATCCTTCTGTAACTACTTCGTCCGTCATGAAGCAACTGTTAGCCCTCTTTCGCTCGCTAGCTTTGCCACTTGGCCAATGACGGCGTCAAGGAGAGAGGGGCAGCGAGCCAGCGATACGCAAGGCAACGAAGAGCTGCAGCCTGCAAGAAAGCATTTGCCATGCCCACAATACTAGGCCGTGTCCCAAGCTCGCTCCGTACCCACAGAGCCGGTGCCCTCCCTGCAACCCCCCCCCAGGATCTTGGATCTTGTCCGAGTTCAGGGCTCGTCTGGCTAACTATCATACCGACACACGGCCGAGGGAGCCATCGCGGCTCGCAGCGCAGCATTGTCGGGCCTTTGTTCAATGGAGTGGAGGAGGGAGAGAAAGAGGGGAAAAACAAGTCCTGTGATGGATGACGGATGACGAGCGAGGCGCGTCCCCGGTCGGGCCCTCCGGTTGCTGGCTGATGATGCTTGTTACCGCTCCTCGGTCCTTGTTTGGACAGCGCCGTGGCGCTCCCTGGCTCCAAGTTTTGTCCGTCCTGTAACTATCAGTAACCCAGCACTAAAAGCAACCCAGCGCCACGGCCACACCACCCCATCCCGCCAGGCCACCCATCCACTAGTACTAGTGAATTACAAGGCGCCAAAAGGATGCCTTCTCGTGCGGCCAGCTGGTGGAGTGAGTCGTGACAAGGCTCCAGACAGGCCCCCAGTCCCCAGCTGAGCTGGCCCTCCCTCCCCGGAAGGTCTTGATGCGGGATCGAGCCAGGGGCCAGTATCAGTCTCTTGTGATTGGCGCTGCCTGCTCGTGTGTGGTGGCTTGCGTCTTTTCACCTTCTCTTTCAGGCCGATAGTGGCATTTCCCTCACATGCAGTCTTCCCCCGTCCGTCTCCCCTAGTTAGCAGAGTTAGCAGCTTCAACACGCAACGACTGCCAGCCCTACTCACCTTGTACCGTTTCCCACAGTCCCCTGTCCTTCCTTGGTTGCCAGTCTCTGTGGCACTGTAATCGTCGTGGCCCCAGCCCGCCTCAGGTTACATCCCCCTCTCCCACAACTCCGACCGACTACTTTCCTCTCCACGCCCCGCCGCCGTCTCTGATTCTTATCTGACTCTCACGCTGCTATCCGGTGAGGCACCAACGGCGCTTCGTTTTGAGTGGTTTATCCCTTCTTTTTCCATATCAAAAGCGGCTTCGAGATAGCGAACCAGCCTGTTTCTGCCTGTCAATTTTTTCTTGTAAGCCAGACACTCTGTTTGCTGCGCCACCACTCAGCACCACTGGCTCACACAGCTTCGCCCTCATCGCCAGGTCCGACCAATCTCACACTTCGCATCTGCACCACGCCTTATCCCGCCCATCGAGATATCTGGACTGCCCGGTCGCTGTATGAATTCCTTTCGCTAGTATCCTTTCCAGCGCAGCCGGGGTCCGACCTTCTGTCGTCTTGCATATACAACACCGCCGAGCACCTAGCATGGGCTGCGCCGTTCAGCCTCTCCACACTGGCCGTTGAATTATCTCGTTGCTCTCGCTCGTCTTTGGCTCGCCGGCTCGCGAGGGATGCCTTCACGTCTCGAAAATTGACCGTATCGGCCACGGCTAGTAAATTGCCCGACCTCATTACCAACCACCCCTCCTCGCCGTTCCTGGGGTCGTACTGAGCCCGGTACCGAGGTAGAACGGCCATGTTTGACCATGAATCGGACAAGGTGCGGGCGTCTGGCTTCTCGCTCGATGCCTATGGTACTATGAGTCAACATGACTTCTTTTCCTCAGGATACGATTCGGGGTCCATCGCCCCATCCCAGCTCGCTCGGGTGCCTGACGATATGCATCGGATGGATGCGCACACGATGGATTGGACGCCAACCCCAACCGGCCACGGCTCTCATTTTCGCAACCAAAATACGTTTCACGACCAAGGGGACTTGATCGACTTTGACGAGATCGCTCCAGCACAGCCTCAAGGAAGCGGTGTAGGACGCTTGGTCGCCCAGTTCGAACACAAGGACTATGTGCCCCCTCTACCGCCGAGGCCCATCATCAATACCGCCCAGAGTCCTGCTGAAACAGACCCATCATTAACAAACTCATCCTTCTCCTCATATTTTAGTAGTTTGACCAGTTCAGCACACGCCAACCAAGGACCGAGCCCTGTCGGCAGCCCGGTGGACTCACACTATGGCTCTTTTGGCGACGTACTCTCGAGAATGACAAGCCCACATGATATCAACAGCATGGAGTCAAGTTCGCCGCTTCTGACGTTTGGCATATTCCCACATGCGCGGCTTGCGAGTCCTCATATCAGCGCCGTTCGGTCCCACGTTGGGCCAGCCATGTCACAGTTTTCCGAGGAGAGAACACGGACTCCCATTGGTGGCGAGCTTACAACTGTACCGAACCCCGACAGCATGGATACCGATTCCAACATGTTTGGCGACGTCGAGCGCAACATTCTGACTTTCCTCAAGCCGGACATTGATAGTAATAATCGCCAGCAAAACCTGCAACCAACGCGGCAGGCCCCCCAACAGATGCAGCATGACGCTCCTCAAGCACCTCAGCAGTTCAGCTTTGCGACCGTACAACAAGTTCAACAACAGCTCAGCCGACAATTGAGCAGGAAACACGCTGCAACTCCACCAAACCAATCAAGTCAACCAACTCAGCTTTTTCAGCCGACGCAGCTCAACCAGCAAACGCAGTCGACGCAACCGAGTCAACCGACACCACCGATCCAAACCAGCCAGCCAATCGAGCCAACGCAGCAGCTTACCCGCCGACTCAGCAGCCAAAGCAGAGAACAGTCGACGCAACCGCAGAAGAAGCCGTTCCAAGGCACTTTTGGGAGCTCAACAACATCGGGAACCCCAGGCTTTTCCATCTGGCGCCCCCCGTCGTCTCCTAACATCAAACACGAACCCTCTCCCGAAAGTCCCGGGATGTTCACAAAGAGTCTGCTTGAAAAGCCGCCTGTTCCGCCCAAGCCTAGGCCGATTCAGGAAACACATCAAATAACACTGGATTTCAACTCGCCCGCCAAGAGCAAGGGAAAGGCTCCAGTCAAACCTCCCAAACCTCCTAAGCCGCCTCGCTCGAGACTACAGCCGCCACCCCCGCCAGCCCGTCCTCAAATTGATACCCAATCTCTCGTCACCAGCCCTGGCAGCGAGCCGATACCACAGACACCTGCGACTCCGGTGACCCCGGCGACTCCTTCCACGACTGCAGATATTGCCTCGCCTGGACCTTCGGTAAGATAGCTGACGAATAAATCCGTCGACCATTGCTAACGTATAGCACAGACGCTGAGACAGGCAGTGTCAGCGCTTCGAGGCCACGGTCTGCGTCCAGGTAGAGAATTGGTTCCTGCCGAAGTCTGGGAACACCAGAAGCCAACAATTCGCTCGTTGTACTTGGATGATCGTAAACCTCTCAAGGAAGTCATGGCCATTATGGCGGAAAAGTACAACTTTCAAGCAACGTAAGTGAGAATCGGGATTGTAGAAGGCGATGTGCTAATGTGATGCGCAGGCCAAAGATGTACAAGACACGATTTTCGCAGTGGGGTTTTGTCAAGAACAATACCGAGGACGAGGTGAAGAGGCTCTTGTCGATGAAGTTTCAACGCGATGCAGAGGGCAAGATTTCCGAATTCGTTCGTAATGGCCGGGTGGTGAACCTGGGCACCTATCTCAAGCGCAAAGGCGTCACCGAGTACGACCTCATCGACTTTGAACAGCCCAGCGATCTGCCCGCGCATATCCGCTGCCGAACACCAACACCGCCGCCACCGCCGATTTATTTCCACACGCCCGAATTGGTGCGGGCCCAAGAAATCCTTGTCGGAAACATCCGGAAATCTTTTCTGCAGTGCCGCCAGTTCGAGACCGACGTTGGCACACAGGTTGGCTGGACGGTGCTCCAAACGTGGGGTGCGTGGTCTTCGGAGATTCTTTTGGAGGCCAACTTTTTCTTTGAGGCGTTGGATACCGACACGGGCGGCCAGAGTCTCATGCACGCATTTAAGCAGCTCGAGGAAGATCTGAAGACGCTTTCGCCGCTAGGAATATTCGAGTTGCTCACGGGAATGGCGAACCGCGACTTGGGCCTCGTCTCGTCGCTCTGCAAGTATCTTGCTGCCCACTCGACGACCAACTTGGATCGCAACCATCCCTTGCGCGTCATCTTTAACTGCTTGTACGATGTGCAGCAGACACACGGCGCTGCCATCCTGTCCGAGCTGCTTTGGGGCTGTTCGCCGCTGTTCGCCAACGAGCTGGAAGCCATCTACGGAAGACGGCATCCATACGTCGTCCGGGCTTGGCTCGATCTTGCCTACTTTAACAACCACATCAACTTTGACCGGCTGCAGAAGATTGCTCTCGAGCTCCGCGTTGTGCAGAAGCAGCTCGAACAAAAGAATGGCGAGACGGATCCCGAAGTGCTGATTGTTCGATACGCTCTGCTTCAGCTCATGTACGCGACGGAACCAAAGTCGGACAACACCAAGCATGCGACGACGGAGCTCTGGGTGACGCTCAAGGGCATGAAGGTCCTGTGCCGCATACGCGACTCCAAGGCCAACGCGTACTGCTACCACAGTCCTGTGCGGCTGAGTCCGTGGACGAAGCGTTGTCGTCGGCGGTATGATGCGGCTGTGGCCATTTTCGAGGACCATCTCGGGGTCAAGATGCATCCGTACTTTGAAGAGGACCTCCATACCTCGCTGCACGAGCTGGAGCCGTCGGATTCTTGGGCCACCGCGCTCGAGCAGTCGAGCAACAGCACTCGAATAGGCTACATCTGATTTTGGCCAGGATACTACAATATTCCCTTTTGTTTCTTCTTCCTCGTTTGCGCTGAATACGGCGTTTTTTTTTTTGAATGACCCATGGAATTGGAGCGGACGCCTGATTCCCTATTGTACAATTAGTCTCAACATTTTGATCGCGAAGCGTTTTGACACGAGAAACGATACCAACCTGGCAGTGGGCCGGCCGGCTTACGAGCGATAGCATAATTTTTTTCTCTTCAATTTTTTTTCTTCATAGGAGAGGCGGATGGTAGAAGCGGGCTGTACTGCATGAAGGGGAGCGATGAAAAATATCATGATGTTTTTGCTCTTCTCCTTTGTTTCACCTCGTTGTTCGCAGAGTGGCAGCTGGCAGCTGGCAGCTGGCAGCCGGCAGGTTGCTGGCACCTGCCCGCGGCTTGCGTAGGTACCTACCTATATTATAATAGTATCACGCGTTGATTCTGTAAAGCCATCCGACACATCGCAAAAATGTGACCAGTAAATTAATTCAATACTTATGATATTGAAACGACCTACCTATGTATACGTGATGAGGCGTGTTGTTCACATAGTAGCTCGCGATGACAGACATTGAATGATACAAGATACAAAGACGAATGCAATACTCAACGAAAGAAAAACGGAAACCTGAGAAGAAAACGGAACCAATCGAATAGGTCAACTAAAATTATACAGGACGACGTCAAGTAGAAGTGGCTCACACATGGTCTGTCTCGCACCCATCCGCATCAGATGTCGTGGTGGAGTCTCACCAAGTGCAATCTTTGACTTCATCTCACCACCCCTTTGCCAGCAACCCGCCCACCATACCCATGATGCTGGCCACGCACTCATGTCGTGCCTCTCTCACGCTCACCAGAACAATATGGAAGAGATTTTCATCCTCGTATCGAACAGTCAAAGGTTTTCCCCTCCCCCGGCGCCTCTTCCCAGCCACGCAACTAACCACACATACAAAGAGTTTGACGTGCTCTTTCTGCGCCAGCAGGGCGCCAAGTTTCCCAAATGGCACCTCACGCCGCCCATCCGTCGCGACACCCGCGTGCGGCTCTCGTACGGCGCCTCCGTCGCCGCGTCCGACCTGCTCGGCAAGCAGATCCTCGACCGCACCGTCGACGACCAGGGCCGGGCCGTCGCCATCCACGAGCCGACCCTAGCCAGCTACATTGTCAACAGCGAGCGGTCCGCCACGCCAGTACGTTCCCGCCCGCACCCTCCTCCCCCCTCCCATTGACCAGCTGTAGATTTACCCTAGCGACGCCGACACCATCGTCTCGCTGCTCGACATCAACGTCACCCGGCCCGGCGAGGATGACGGGCCCGCAGAAGCGCCGTTTGAGGTCTTCGAGGCCGGCACCGGCATGGGCAGTCTGAGCCTGCACATTGCGCGCGCCCTGCACGCAGCCAACCCGCCCGTGCCGGCGGCTCTGCGCCTCGCCCTGCGCAGCAGCCCCCTCGCGCGCTCCGTCGCCGGCAACGTGCTGGACCTGGACGCCGCCTCGGCCGCGCTCCTCGCCGCGTACCGCGCCTCGCGCCGCGCCGTCCTGCACACGCTCGACCGCAGCGGCAAGCACACGCGCGCCGCCTA